CCAGCTGCTTTCAAGACATTTTTATTTTCAAAAATTTAATGATTATGTGTCTTGACATGGATTTCTTTGGATTTTTCCTCTGGATTTTGTTAAGCTTCTTGAATTTATAGGTTTATGTCTCATGGCAGTTTGGGGAGATTTCAGCCATTATTTTTTTGTGTACCTTTCTCAGCTCTGAAAAAGTCTCCTTTCAGGGCAGCAGTGGCACCAAAGTTAAATCTTTGTTATAGTCCCACAGCTGCATGATATTTTTTTTCTGTCCTTTTTCTCTCTTCTTTTTAGATTGGGTCGTTTATTGTTCTGACTTCAAGGTTAGTGGTTCTTCCCTTTTTCCCCTCCATTCCGTAGTTGAGCCCAACTACAGAACTTTTTTTTTCTTTCTTTCTGCGATACGCGGGCCTCTCACTGTTGTGGCCTCTCCTGTTGCGGAGCACAGGCTCCGGACGCGCAGGCTCAGCGGCCATGGCTCACGGCCCCAGCCGCTTCGCGGCATGTGGGATCCCCCCGGACCGGGGCATGAACCCTTGTCCCCTGCATCGGCAGGCGGACTCTCAACCACCTGCGCCACCAGGAAAGCCCTACAGAACTTTTTATTTCACTTATTTTCTCTTTTAAAATTTGCATTTGATAGCTCAGTAAAATTGAGCTATCAAATATAAGAAAAAACGTTTTCCATTTACTTTTTCTTGGATATCTACTGACTCTTTGCTGAGGCTTTCTCTTTTTTCATGTTTTTCAAGTATGTTCACAGTTGGTCATTTAAGCATTTTTATCATGGTTACTTTAAAGTCATTTTCAGGTTATTCTCGTCTCAGTCTTGGTTATCTAGTGACTGTCTTTTTTTATTCAGTTTCAGATCTTCCTGGTTTTGGGTATGAGTGAATTTTTGTTGAAACCTTGGCATTTTCTGTATTGTGAGATTTGGCATCTTATTTAGAACTTTCTGTTTTAGCTAGTTTTCACTGATACCTCTCTGGCAAAGGAAGGCCGTCACTTACAGAAAAAATTTTTAAATGTTCTTAATGGATAAAAAGTAAATCTGGAAAGTTAATGAGTTTAAATAGTCAAGAAAATTTAGAGGAAGACTGAGGACTGAATTGCTCTATCCATTAGGAGTATCCTGCAGTATTATCTGGTTGTGGTTCAGATCAATAAGACAAAACAGGTGTCTGGACTAATCTTTAGTCTAATATATTGTTATTTACCACACAGAAGCTTGAATAGGTATTATCTTTGCTTTAAAGTTGTTGCTTTTAAGTCATTTCTTCTATTTTAAATTATTTAAGGCTGACTGTTCCATTCTTCTTCTGGAACTTTCTGCTGCATATGTTAAGTGAAGACACTTTAAATTAATTTGAGAAAGATAGCCTAGTCTCTTGTTTTTAATACACTCAATGAGACTGTATGTTATAATAAAAGTCCAAAACAAAACTCTACTGTTCCAGATTCTTTTGGTTCCTAGGAATAGAAAAGCCAACTCTATGTGGATTAATCAAAAAAGGGAATTTATTGACTGTTTTAATGGTAGTCTTAGCTCCGTGCATGGCTGCACCCAGGGACTCAGATAATATTAGGGGTTGCTTTCTCTCACTTTCACTCTTAGGCAGCCTTTCCCCCTTTTGATGTCTGTACCCTCACCTTTACCTCCACCCCTCATTTCCCAACATTTTCAGGCTTACATTCGTCCATCCTTTCTTTTCTAACAGTTCTTACACAAGTACTTGGCCTGTTTGGGGTCACAAGTCTATCCCCGAAGTAATCAATTTGGACTTGAGGATAAAATATGTTGATGGCTGCAGTGGATCATGTGTTCACCCTTAGAGCTGGAATGGAGGGCAGTAGGTTCCACATGGCTTAAGGATCGAGGAGTAATTCTCTGAAAAACTGAGGCACCCCACAAAACAGTCTCTTCTGTGCCTAGTTGGAGGCTCTGTCCAAGACCATGGGCACTTTGGAACTAGAGGAGGAACAGTTCTTGTTCTTCCTCAGACAGTGCCATGTATAGTTTTGCTTGTTTTTCTCTGCTTGGGATACATCCCGGATGTTCAGATGGCTGCCTTCCTCATTTCCTTCATATCTCTGTTCAATGTCATCTCTTCAGGCTTACTGATGTCCCTGTAAAATAGTGCCACCACCACCAGCCACATGCCTCTTTCAAACCCTTTGCCATGCTTTTAACTTCATAGTGAGTGAATATGTTTATCTTCTGTCTTCCTCCATCTGAAGAAGGACCTTGTTTCTCCAGTTTACTGCCATACTCTAGGTTCCTAGGACAGTGCTTGGCACATTGCAGGCATTCAAATATTTGTCTGTTAAACAAAGGAATACACGAGTATTGTGATAGGAAAATGAAAAACAAAAGGAGAAATGAGGGCAGAGAGGACTGTCATGACCAAAAGAGACAACTGGCTTTTAAAGTATGGAGGAACTTGTTTGGAGAGGAGGAGGGTAATGTTTGATACTGAGCAATTAGGAACATATTCCTGTTGCATCCCTGCTGTTTCTTTTACTAGAGGCTTCTAATAAAGGCTTCTGTCTTTCCTTATTAAGGACATTGTTAATTACTAGCTCATGATTAAATTAAAATTTTCGTTAATTAAAAGTAGCTTAAATGATGCCTTTCTGTTAACATGATGGATAGCAGCACTGTAAAGTAGAAATGTTGCAAGCTACAAATGTGAGCCACATAGGTAAGTTAAATTTTTTAGTAGCCACATAAAAATATTTCAGAAGAAATAGATGAAATTAATCTTAATATTATGTTTAGCTCAACATATCTGAACCATCATTTTAACATATAGCCATTGTAAATTTTGTTGGAAATATTTCACATTCTTTTTTGGGGTATTAAGTATTGGAAATCTGGTATATGTTTTATATTTACAGTACATCTCAATTTAGACTAGTCAGTTTTGATGCTCATTAGCTGCTGGTGGCTAGTGACTACTGTATAAGACATCACAGTCTAGAACATATATGCATGCATTCCTTTATTCAGTAAGCACTTTAGAATAGTTCCACATACCATTCTAAATGCTTGGAGTTTGTGGATGAAGAAGACAGATGGAATCTCTGGTTTCAGGAGTTTATATTTTCTCACAAAGGGACAGATAATTAAATAAATAAAATAACTTTGAATAGGGATAAGTGGGAAGGATGTTATTTATATTGATTGATTTAAGTAATATACATAACATAAAGTGTACAGATCTTAAGTATATATCAGTAGATGAATGTTTATGCAGTATGACTACCACCCAGATCACAAGGCCCCCCTGCCCTTTGGTAAGAAGTTTGAAAGACTTTTACATGGAAGAAGGGGTGAGTGGGAAGAATGTGTATTATCTTTTCTACTTTTGAGAGACATGGAAAGGAAGAAATATTTTTCTGGACTACTGCACTATTCAGTTTTGGGAAGAAGGAGTTAAGCTTGGAGCCAAATCTGTCCTTTGTCTTTGAGCCCCCATTTTTTTTTTTTATTTTTTTAAGATTTTTTTTTTTTGATGTGGACCAATTTTAAAGTCTTTATTGAATTTGTTACAATATTGCTTCTGTTTTATGTTTTGGTTTTTTGGCCAAGAGGCATGTGGGATCTTAGCTCCCAGACCAGGGATCAAACCTGCACGCCCTGCAATTGATGGGGAAGTCCTAACCACTGGACCATCAGGGAAGTCCCTGAGCCCCCATTTTTAATTTTTATTTATTTATTTGTTTGTTTGTTTGCTTATTTATTTATTTTTGCGGTATATGGGCCTCTCACTGCTGTGGCCTCTCCCGTTGTGGAGCACAGGCTCTGGACGCGCAGGCTCAGCGGCCATGGCTCACAGGCCCAGCCACTCCGCGGCACATGGGATCTTCCTGGACCGGGGCACGAACCCATGTCCCCCTGCGTCGGCAGGCGGACTCTCAACCACTGCGCCACCAGGGAAGCCCGCCCCCATTTCTTAGTGGTAATATATTTTTTAAAAGACTCTGCTGCCCCCTACTATCTAAAATGAGCTGAGAAACAGTTCTAGAACTATACTAAGTGAAGAGGTCTATTGTTTTATTTAAGGTTTTAGTAATAACAGAGTTAACCGTGGACTTCCCTGGTGGTCCAGTGGTTAAGATTCCGTGCATGCTTCCACTGCAGCGGGTTCAGGTTTGATCCCTGATCAGGGAAGTTCCACATGCTGCGTGAGGTGTGGCCAAAAAAAAAAAAACAAAAGTTAACCGTGATATTTCATACTCTGAGTGCATTATAAATTCTGCATTGATTCTATGATATTTATTAACTAAATATACATAATATTGGATTATTCACATTAATACTTTTTTTCAAAAGAGTAAAGCAAATTTGTACTCTGATATTTAGAAAGTTCGAATTATTTCTTTTTTTTTAATAATTAATTAAGTAATTAATTTATGGCTGCGTTGGGTCTTCGTTGCTGCGCGTGGGCTTTCTCTAGTTGTGGTGAGTGGGGTCTACTCTGCGTTGCGGTGTGCAGGCTTTTTATTGCAGTGGCTTCTCTTGTAGTAGAGCATGGGCTCTAGGCGCGTGGGCTTCAGTAGTTGTGGCACACAGGCTTAGTTGCTCCGCGGCATGTGGGATCTTCCCAGACCAGGGCTCGAACCCGTGTCCCCTGCATTGGCAGGTGGATTCTCAACCACTGCGCCACCAGGGAAGCCCTCAAATCACTTCTTAAAAAGGTAGTATGGTTTGCATATTTGCATACTCCTACTTTACAAACAAATTAGTAAATGTGGATGTAATGTTTTTCACTTTAGAATCTTTTATAATTCAACTTCCTTCTGGGGGAGTTAATGGCATTTTAAAAATCAGGTATTTGTTACTCTTGTGTTTATGTAGAACTTGAGGGAGTTGGTAGGTTTAATAGATAATTCTATATAAATCTTACTAAAATTAGGTTTTCTTAGTGTTTTAAAATATTAAGAAGAGAATATAAATTGTAGGCCACATGCTTTATGTGTGAATGATGATTATCATTTTATCTTTGCAGATTTTGAAAGATATAGCCAACCGATACCATATGATGAGAGGTTCCAAAATACATTTTGTGCCAGGCTGGGATTGTCATGGCTTACCCATTGAAATAAAAGTATTATCAGAACTTGGTGGAAAAGCTCAGAATCTTTCAGCTATGGAAATTAGAGAGAAAGGTAAATAATCTCTATTTCTGTTTTAAAATGGTATTTGTAAACACTGCTTCCTTGGAAAAGTCAGGGCTTTATCAAAGACACCTGTTGTTTTTTGGTTTTTGCTATTGTTTTTCGCTTATAATGACATCTGTTGGAAACCACTTTGTGTCAAAGAAAATTAAGATTTTGTGTAACTGACTTTTATGAGAACTTATGTTCAGAAATGAAGGAAAGATTTGTAAACACATCCAAGTACATTTTTCAATTCTTTAGTCTTCACATTTTGTTGAAATTATGATTTTGGTCAATGTTTTTATTTACTTTCTTGGCTAGGACTTGACCTATTTTAGGTGCTAAACCAAAAATAAATTTTAAATTAAAAATTGTTTTAAAAGATCTCTTTTTTTGATCCTTTCCTTCCATAGAATGTGTCAGGGAGGACTCTTCTATCCTTTTTCTTTTTTTTTTAATTAATTAATTTTTTTGGCTGCATTGGGTCTTCGTTGCTACACACAGGCTTTCACTAGTTGCGACGAGCCAGGCCTTCTCTTCGTTGTGCGCGGTTTTCTCATTGCGGTGGCTTCTCTTGTTGTGGAGCACGGGCTCTAGGTGCACAGGCTTCAGTAGTTGTGACACAGGGGTCAGTAGTTGTGGCTCATGAGCTCTAGAGCGCAGGCTCAGTGGTTGTGGCGCATGGGCTTAATTGCTTTGCAGCATGTGGGGTCTTCCTGGACCAGGGATCGAACCCATGTCCCCTGCATTGGCAGACGGATTCTTAACCACTATGTCACAAGGGAAGTCCCCCTTCTGTTCTTATATGTTAAACTGTTTTTGTTTTTTTTTTTTAAGGGCTCCCCAGTGTTTATTTATTTATTTACTTTTGGCTGCTTTGGGTCTTTACTGCTGTGTGCGGGCTTTCTCTAGTTGCGATGAGCGGGGGCTACTCTTCGTTGTGGTGCATGGGTTTCTTATTGTGGCAGCGTCTCTTGTTGCAGGGCACGGGCTCTAGGCACATGGGCTTCAGTAGTTGTGGCTCTCGGGCTCAGTAGTTGTGTCTTGCGGTCTCTAGAGCACAGGCTCAGTAGTTGTGGCGCACAGGCTTAGTTGCTCCATGGCATGTGGGATCTTCCTGGAACAGGGCTCGAACCCGTGTCCTCTGCATTGGCAGAGGGATTCTTAACCACTGTGCAACCAGGGAAGTCCCTAAACTATTTTATAATTGGATATGATTGTGAAGATTTCATACTTCCTTATGAAAGAGTATTATTGGTTGTACTGGTTAATTTTGTGTGTGTGTATATATAATGAAATAAGAATTGTTCTCTGACCTTTTCTTAAACTGAGAAATATGAAGAATAACTTTTCCAGTTTATTTTTTCTAAAAGTAAGGCCATTTTATGATCTCTCAATAATAGAGGAGATGGTAACAAAATTTTAACTTCTGAAATTTTAGTTAATTTTAGAATTTGTTGTAGGTATCTTCTGAACACTTTAACTTTCAGATAATTTTCCTATTAAAAATTTTTATAGTCTAAATTGTGTACAGTACCTGCATTTAGAGAGATACATGCTAAACCACGTTTAAGAATTTGAATTAATTTGTTTTCAAAAGCTTTTTGTTTCTTTATTGTTTTTAGCTAGATCATTCGCCAAGGCAGCAATTGAGAAACAGAAATCGGCATTTATTCGTTGGGGAATAATGGCAGATTGGAATAATTGCTACTATACATTTGATGGAAGATATGAAGCCAGACAGTTGAGAATTTTCTATGAAATGTATGATAAGGTAATAAAAGTTTTTTTTTTCTTTGAGTATGTTAAAATATGTGTTACAGAATTCCAGCTTTCATTTTTCTTTGTCTTTTATAGGGCTTAATTTATCGATCTTATAAACCTGTGTTTTGGTCTCCCTCATCAAGGTATTTATGTCTTTTTGGTATTCAAGGGGAGAATTTTGTGAGGGTTCCAAATATTTATGTTTAATATTTTTAAACCTTAGGACTGCATTGGCTGAAGCAGAACTTGAATATAATCCAGAGCATGTCAGTTGCTCAGTATATGTAAAATTTCCTCTCTTGAAACCTTCTCCTAAGTTGGCATCTCTTATAGGTAAGATTTATCTGTTGCTTGAGTTTATTAAAGTTATGGAATTATAACATTTGATTTGCTAGCATATTTGAAATTTTATTTTCACAGATGGTTCATCTCCTGTTAGTTTCTTAGTCTGGACCACCCAGCCTTGGACAATTCCAGCCAATCAGGCTGTTTGTTATATGCCAGAATCAAAGTAGGTATATTATTGCAATTTTTGTTTTATTCACAAATAGGATCAATTCCATTTTTAGCATTATTTTGATCTTATTTAATCCTTATTATCCTTTTAAAATTAGTGAATTATAACTTAGTTCATATAGATTTTATTAAGCTTTAGTTCATATAGATTAAAGATTATAGGGCTTCCCTGGTGGCGCAGTGGTTGAGAGTCCGCCTGCCGTTGCAGGGGACACGGGTTCGTGCCCTGGTCCAGGAAGATCCCACATGCCGTGGAGCGGCTAGGCCCGTGAGCCACGGCTGCTGAGCCTGCGCGTGCGGAGCCTGTGCTCCGCAACGGGAGAGGCCACAACAGTGAGAGGCCCGCGTACCGCAAAAAAAAAAAAAAAAAAAAAAAAAAGATTATAAGTTTCAGTTCATATAGATTTTATTAAGCTTTAGAGGATTCTACTTAAGACCTTATCTCTACCTTTTTTGGAAAAGAAAATAGAAATGTAAGGAATGAAGTCCCTTGAAAATAGTACTTTTTTGATCTTAAAGTTAGTTTTTCTAAAATAATGTAAAACATTTAAAATGTTATCTGTGGTTTTTCTTTTTTCATTATTAGTAATTTACTCCTAAAATTTTATTTTAGGTATGCTGTCGTGAAGTGTTCCAAATCTGGAGACTTCTACGTTTTAGCTGCAGATAAAGTAACATCTGTTGCTTCTACTTTGGAAACAACATTTGAGGTTATTTCAACATTTTCTGGTAAGGATTTACAGGTATTCTGACCATCAAAGTCATCAAAATATTGGGTTGATCTTAGTTTAGTACCTTGCTAAAGATTTCTTATTGTGAATCAAAACAGATATGGCCTCTACCTTTCTAGAATATATTTTACATTAATTAAACTGAAGGAGAATATGCATTGAACATGATAGGAGTATAGAAAATGTGAACATTGACAAAGGCACAATAGATTAAAAAAACATTTTTGGCAAATATCCAGTGGAAAATTAGACAGATGCCCTTTGTACAACATATAATGTACAAATTTCCCTCTAAAATTTTATTCAAAATTAAATTATTGAAAATTACTTTTATCTGATTTGATGAAGGGAGCAAGGAAGGAAATAAATACATTTATTTTGGGGTATATAATTTTAATAAGGAAGTTGAATAAATTCTGAAAGTTATTTCCAAGATAGCATTTCTATCAAAAGGATCCTTAGTAAGCTATAATTTGGGACTTCTGAAGTAGTGGCTGATTTTGAAATACAACTATGGATGAAAGAATGCTCAACATCATTAATCATTAGAGAAATGCAAATCAAAACTACAATGAGATATCATCTCATACCAGTCAGAATGGCCATCATCAAAAAAAATCTATAAACAATAAATGTTGGAGAGGGTGTGGAGAAAAGGGAACCCTCTTGCACTGTTGGTGGGGATATAAATTGATACAGCCACTATGGAGAACAGTATGGAGGTTCCTTAAAAATCTACAAAATAGAACTACTATACGACCCAGCAATCCCACTACTGGGCATATACCCTGAGAAAACCATAATTCAAAAAGAGTCATGTACCAAAATGTTCATTGCAGCTCTATGTACAATAGCCAGGACATGGAAGCAACCTAAGTGTACATCAGCAGATGAATGGATAAAGAAGATGTGGCACCTATATACAATGGAATATTACTCAGCCATAAAAAGAAACGAAATTGAGCTATTTGTAATGAGATGGATGGACCTAGAGTCTGTCATACAGAGTGAAGCAAGTCAGAAAGAGAAAAACAAATACCATATGCTAACACATATATATGGAGTCTCAGGGGAAAAAAAAAGGTCCTGAAGAACCTAGGGGCAAGACGGGAATAAAGACACAGACCTACTAGAGAATGGACTTGAGGATATGGGGAGGGGGAAGGGTAAGCTGTGACAAAGTGAGAGAGTGGCATGGACATATATACACTACCAAACGGAAAATAGATAGCTAGTGGGAAGCAGCCGCATAGCACAGGGAGATCAGCTCCGTGCTTTGTGACCACCTAGAGGGGTGGGGTAGGGAGGGGGGGAGGGAGGGAGACGCAAGAGGGAAGAGATATGAGAACATATGTATATGTATAACTGATTCACTTTGTTATAAAGCAGAAACTAACATACCATTGTAAAGCAATTATACTCCAATAAAGATGTTAAAAAAAATATAACTGGAAATCTAGGGAAGTTTAAAATTACCTTTGATCCTTAGGGATGATATATCTTTGAGTTTCTTACAAAAGAAAAAAAAAATCACAAGAGTAGATACTCAAAAATGGAAAGATTGTCTAGCAAAGTAAGGAAGGCCTCAAAATGCACTGCTTTAGATATAAACCAGTTAGAGGTTTAAACAAACTTAACAAAAATCAAAAGGTTTTTAATGCCAAAGGCATGAAAGAAGCTCCAGAATGTTTAATATTTAATACCCTTTGGACCTTGTTGGTGCATTAGGTAACTTAGAGGCTCCAGTATATTCTTTACTCCATACACCTCTCTCACTTCTTTTTAAAAAAATTGATATGTAATTGATATATAACATTATATTAGTTTCAGGCATTCAAAATAATGATTCAATATTTGTATATATTGTGAAATGATCACCATAAGTCTAGTTAACATCCATCGTCACACATAGTTGCAAATTTTTTTTGTTGTGATGAGCACTTTTAAGATCTAATCCCTTAGTAACTTTCAAATATACAGCACAGTATTATTAACCACAGTCCACCTCTTTTTTAAGTGCAAAAGGTATTAATAGACTTCCTTGACATGTTAGATGTTGTTACAGAAGTTGAGTGGCTTCTCAAAGGGTTTTTGAAAGTATTAAGGTTAAATTTAAAGGTCATTTTTCTAGACTGCATTATTGTTTCAAATTATTACTTTGTGAAAAATTAATTATTGCCATTTTTAGCCACCATGTTTCAGAGGAATATATATACTTCTCATTCGTGGCCTATATTTTCTTGTTTTCTGATTTGTAAATTGGGGATAATGTTAGCTGCTTTGTAGTATTATGAAGATGAGGTAAGAATTTATGTTGAGTCTAGTACATGTGGGTGCCCAGTAACTGTCAGGTATTATTTATCATCTCTTACCTTTTTAGGGTAACATGAAAAGCTACGAGTTCCCGCAGAGATAGTATTAGAACGTACTAGTCATTGACCTGTTGATCTAGAATTTTTTGTCCTCTATTCTAAAAGGTACATAACTGCACATAAATTAGAGAAGTTATTTTGGATTCATTTGATTATCTATTTTTTATAATAATTGCTAATATTTTAAAGCATCTACAGTGTGGCAAGTATTGTGATAAGTACCCAAAATGCTTAACGTGCATTAACCCAGTTTATGTTCACAGCAGACCTCTGAGGTAGGAACCGTAATTGTTCACATTTTATAGATTCCTGAAGGTCACAGAACAAATAAAAGGGAAAGCCAGAATTTGAGCCCAGTCTTATCCCAGATTCTGCTCTTTTCAGCTGATGTCTATTGCTAATCTTAAAGAGGTAGAAGAATTGCTATATAAAATAATTCTTTTTTTTTTTTTTTTTTTGCTGTATGGGGGCCTCTCACTGTTGTGGCCTCTCCCGCTGTGGAGCACAGGCTCCGGACGCGCAGGCTTAGTGGCCATGGGCTCACGGGCCCAGCCGCTCTGCGGCATGTGGGATCTTCCCGGCCCGGGGCACGAACCCGTGTCCTCTGCATCGGCAGGCAGACTCTCAACCACTGCGCCACCAGGGAAACCCTAAAATAATTCTTAATTGTGGCTTTCTTTCCGCACAGGTGTTGACTTGGAAAATGGTACTTGTGCTCATCCTTTCATTTCTGAGAGGGTGTCTCCTCTTTTACCTGCCAGTCATGTGACCATGACAAAAGGAACAGGGTTGGTTCACACAGCCCCAGCTCATGGTATGGAAGATTACAGTGTAGCTTCTCAACACAACTTGTCCATGGTACTGCTCCTCTTTTTTCCTTTTAAATTATTGCTTTTGAAGAATTAAAGCAATAAACCCTAACTAATGTCTTTACTTTTGATAATAAACAATAATTTTTGTCATCGTAGTTAAGTTGTGAAATGCTTCTGTGCAATAAGCCTCCAAAGCCTTATTAACTCATACTAATTGAGAACGATTTCCCAGAATTAGCACAAAATTGTCACAGAGTTAGAATTGAAGAATGCATAGTAAATGGGGGCATTTTTTTTTCCAAGTATTAAGTCACATAGACAAATTACTTTCAATCCCTGAAAAATGGCAAGTGGGTTTTACTAAATAGTTGAAAAGAGCCGGTTTTTAAATTCTTTTCAGACTAAACAGTCTTCTCTAAATTTATTTGACACACGTCAGTTACTTAGCAAGTTTTTCCATTTAGCTAAAGGCAAGTCTCAAAGTCGTCACAATGTATGTACACTGCCATAGATCTGTAAATTGAGGTTTTTAGTATATTTTGTTACTTTTTGTAATTAAACTTTAGGTGTATGTTTTAATAATACATTTTGCCTTTGGTGATTTAAATGTGTAAATTCACAAATTCTGATTGACTGAATAAGTAGTATCCAAATTTTCAGTGTAGTGAAAGACTAGACTGTAATGAGATGTTTTATATAGTATACTGCTTTGCTAGATATTGTCATAAGATGAAATGTCTTGATACTTTATTTTAATTGTTCAAAATGACTCTTTTTAGGATTGTTTAGTGAATGAAGATGGAGTCTTCACAGATGCTGCAGGTCCTGAACTGCAAAACAAAGCTGTTCTTGAAGAGGGAACAGATGCGGGTGAGTACTGTTTATGTTGGTATCATAAATATGTATTTTCTGAAAAGCAGCCAGAAGTAACCTTTGCTGACAATTCTCTCATTTTGTACTTTCAACAAAAAGCTAAAATTATATTTTATTTATATTTTATTTTGCCACATGGTTTAAAATGGAGTTTGGCACTTTTTCATCTTTTGCTTTGAAGTTGCTCTACTTGTTTAAGCAAATCAAGGCAGTCAACAGAGAGTGATGTTATTTTAGGACTATAAAGATAGTCATCAGCAGTGTTAGTTTTGTGGAAGGATGCAATCAACCTTGGGACTAGATGCTGACTGTGAATCAGACACTCGCACTCCGTTTGTAACCCTTATATCACTGATACATATAGGATAGTTGATGTATCAACAATTCTAGGGGTCCTCCAGTCTTGAGTTTTCTTTCTGCCTTTCTATAAATATGGATCCAAGGACCAGGTACTATGAAAACCTTTCTTTGCCCACACTAAGACTAAGGCTAATTAGATCTGGTATATTAATTTTCTAGGGCTCCTGTCACAAATTACCATAAATTTGGTGGCTTAAAACAACAGAAACTTATTCTCTCACAGTTCTGGAGGCAAGAAGTCTGAAATCAAAGGTGTTGGCCAGGCTCTGCTCCCTCTGAAAGCTCTATGGAAAAATTCATGTTTGCCTCTTCCTGGCTTCTGGTGGCTCCTGGTAATCCTTGGCATTCTTTGGTTTATAGCTGTATCACTCCAGTCTGCCTCTATTATAACATGTTCTTCTTTGCTCTGTGTGTCTCTGTGTGTCCTTTCTTCTTAGAAGGACACCAGGCATTGGAATTAGGGCCCACTCTAATCCAGTGTGACCTCATCTTAATTGCAGATTACATCTACAAAGACCCTATTTCCAAATAAGGTCACATTCACAAGTACTAGGGGCCAGGACTTGAACCTATCTTTTGGGGGGACAGAATTCAACTCAGTATACCTGGTTTCTTCTGGATTACCTGGAGACCATTTTAAGATTCATAGTATGAAAGATTGTGACTCTGAATTTGAGATGTAGAATTCTAGATGTATTCTGTCATCTTTGAAAAGAAGAGCCATGGGAATGGCATAATTTGGAGTCTGATTAAGGTTTTACAGTTTCTGCTTTTATTGCCTGGAGATTCCCAGATTATGCCTTTGCTACCTGGTAGATGGCTACTCTTACTGTCACCTGTTGGCCCAGATTTAGTACTCCCTGGGAGTTTAGAGAGTTATTAGGATTTTCATAGTGCTTTTTAATTGTGTCTAATGTAAATTGTTATTAATTGTTTTTTAAGTTATAAAGATGCTTCAGGCTGCAAAGAATTTGTTGAAAAAGGAAAAATTGGTACACAGCTATCCCTATGACTGGAGGACTAAGAAACCAGTAGTTATTCGTGCCAGCAAGCAGTGGTTTGTAAATATCACGGATATTAAGACTACAGCCAAGGTATAAAAGGCATCCTACTGTAAGGGCTGGGTTTATCATTCCCTCAGTATGAAAGGTTTACCTGTGAGGTTGGGGTAGGGTTTTGGGAGTAGAAGGGATTAATGCTATTATTATTTGGTTTCATAAACTTGTAGAATTTTAGATCTGGAAGGACCTTGGGTTTCCATCCCTTTATTATACATGCTTAAAGAGTTTAAGTTGCTCTAATTTCCTGCCCAGTGTAGTGAAAATAGCATAGAATTAGGACTTCAGTTCAGCAAATTGTTTAACCTCTCAGAACCTCAGTTTCCTCATCTGTATAAAAGTGATAATAATGCCTACCTCACAAGATAAGTGAATAAAAGTTCCCAGAACAGTGTCTGGCACATAGTGGGCATTCAGCAAAACTCTTTTAAAACTCTTTGCTTCCTTAAAATTGAAATTGCAGTTCATTTGAAAAGCTATTTCTTTTGAGTTAACAAATATTGTATAACTGGCATTTTAAATATTAATATATATTTGAGCTCTTTCATTCAATACGTTTATGTATCTGTGTGTGTGTATATCTCATGAACAACTTGATTCTATTAAATGAAAGAACTCAAATATATATTTGGTAACCAGGCTGAGTATACAGATATTTTGCTTTACAGCTTGCATGTAACGTTGCTAATATTAGTTGGTTCATTTGTTGACATGGCAATTTGGGGTCCATGCCAAAGCTATGCAAGCAATTTATGCTTTCTACATTCATGTAGAGTGGATAACTGTGCTATGGACCGTTTCTTTGTTTTCTTCTGTTTTTTACATTTCTGTGAAGGCTGTTTTTCTTACCTGTAAATGTTACAATTTGTAACTTTCAGCTCTGCACGGATTTTTGTTGCAGAACATCTGAGTCTGATGCTGATGCAATACGCTGAAGCCATATTTTTTTTTAACTTCTTTATAGAAAATTTTCAGTTGTTCCTCGCAGAAATAGAGAGAATAATGTACTGCCATGTTTCCATCACCCAACTTTAACAATAATCACCTTTTTGCCAATTTTATTTTTATCTGCATCCCTACCCATTATCTACACTTCCTACCCATTGGATTATTTTAAAGCAACTTAAAAGGCATTATGTTTTCCATAAATATTTCATCATGTATATCTGACATTTAAAATTAAAACATAATTTTAATGCCATTTTTACCACCTTAAAAAAATAATAGTTATTCCTTAACAAAATCAAATATCAAGTCAGTATCACGTTTCAATTTTTAATCAAAATAAATTGCGAATGTTGCCTTTCTACCAGTGGGTGGTGCTACAAAGGGCTTTGGGACAGGAGATTTCTGGTGGTTCAGGTAAGCGAGGAAACTGTTTAAACATGCTCTAAAAATGTAAAAATGCTTTTATCAATGGGTAGAGAGACTTTCTTTGAGACTTTTTAAAATGAAGTTATATTTTCACTTACGGATATTTTTAAACATTTTTGCTATACAATTCTTTTCTTGGTAATTAACGAATGAAAGCAAATGCTAGTAGTTTACAACTTTTGGAGGCGGGAGGTTGAGGGAAGGAGAGTTCTTGAGAGACAGCCAGTAAATAGGAAGTAACTTATTTTGAGAAAGTGTTTTCTATGTTGTAAACCATACTATGTAAAATTAGGTTACATTGCAGTCCTTGTTTGTCCACCTAAGATAATAGCTTATTTCTTAAGCATTTAAAGAAGAATTATTGAAATCAAGTTTGAATTGATTTTAACTGTAGTTTAATAAAGTATAATACTTCTACTAAACCTGTTATTACCAGTTTTGATCTAGGGTGCTTGGAAATTAGTATAAAATTTCTTGTCACATCCTCCAAAGGTGAAGTCTGCTCTGGATGTTATTTATTAGATCATTTGTGGTCCTATTTTAACATTGTCTCATTTGCTCTGAAATCTATGGTGTTTTTAGATTAGTTTCTTTTTGGTGGGGGAAGGGGGCATGTAAATGACTATAAATCTCTAAAATAAAGAACTGTATTAGGATAAATAATGGCAGTTCTAGAAAATTTGTTCTGCTTTCTCTCACTGAACTTGATTTGTGAATCAATTGCAGGAATTGTTAAAAAAAGTGAAATTTATTCCTGGATCAGCACTGAATGCCATGGTTGAAATGATGGACAGGCGGCCATATTGGTGTATATCAAGGCAAAGAGTTTGGGGTGTTCCAATTCCTGTGTTTCATCATAAGACAAAAGATGAATTCTTGATCAACAGGTAGAACTCTTTCTAAAATTTTCAACATTTTAAAGTGAGTTGTATTTTCTTCAAAAATGGAAAAATAGTGGACTATTGAAAACTCTTGATATATGTTAAATAAAATATTCTAAAATAGCTATCTTTTTTGAGGGGAGTAAAATATAAATTTCAGAAAGATCCTTTCAAATGGATGAAATTTTAACAAACACTGGATTATTTTTTCAGTATTGATACGTAGAAGCAAAGACCGTGAATATTTTCCTATGAGAATTCATTATCCCTGACTGTGCCCTGTGCTGGGATAAGGTGTCAGGAGCCCAGAGATAAGCAGTGTTGAGTGGTGGAGCCCAGTATGTGATTTTTCTTCAGGAATTAGTGTCAGTCTTTCACTCCGAGTCTACGCTCCCTCTCAGTAGAAATGGCATTAGGTAATTGTATAGGTAATTTAAGAAACTATAATATAATTGAATGCACATAACTAACTCTAGTGATGATTACATTCCTAGTTATTTCTTTTTTCCTTAATTTTTTTTTAATTTGGAAAGATAATACATGAACCTAGTGAACAATTCAGAGTAGAAAAGCTTATACAGTAAAAAGAAGATTGTTTTCCCTAATCATATACTAGACCCTTTTTTGAGGCAGTAAACAAGACTGACATGGTCCCTGCTCTTGATGAGGTGATAATCTAGCTAGTTTATCTTCTAGTAAATTAAGGTGGCTCTCAGTATTGTTGCTGTTATTAACAGATGTGGAAAGGGGAATATTAATCATTTCTTTTGCGAATACATCCTGGGTTATCATTTTTTTTGGAGTAATTTTGTTTTGGACATTTTACTAAGTTATTCTAGACCATGAGCAAAGAGTTTGACTGTGTTTTGGTAAGTATTTTCACATTTCATCAGTTGAGGATTTAGTGAGAGTTTTGAAGGCATGGACGCCAGCAAGTAATGGAGAATTTAAGTAATGGAGAGATGACAGAGTTGAATGTCCTACCTTGGGGTTCATCATCATTTTTGTAAAAAGGTTCTGCTTTTCATTGTCAACATTATTAGTATTTCTTTAGGTGGTACTTTTGTGAATATATGCATTTTAGGTTTTTTTTAAATTGTTGACTACACTGTTGGTTTTTTTTTTTTTAAATTACCTTTAGCCAGTATTAGTTAGTTCTTAGTATCCTTGGTGTGAAGGTTCCTTTTCACTTTGAAATGTTCCTTGTATCACTGCTTCACCTTATGGCTGACACCTTATGGCAACATGGTTCAGAGGGAAGAACTAAAGGCTCTGCCTTGAACAAATATTGAACCCTAAAACAGCTCATTTGCTTCAGTTATAAAGGATATGGCATTTGAGTAGGGCCTGGAGGATTAGGTGGCAAATGGGGGAAGGTAGTGGGATTAGGAGCTGAGGACCCAGAGTGGGGAAAACATAGCATGTTTACAGGAACCATAATGGGGCTGCAGGTTGTGTGAGGGGAACAGAAAGATAAACACTTAAGAAAGATTGATTGGGGCAAATTGAAGTGAGTCTTAAATACCAGGCTAAGGAATTTAAACTTTTAAGTAGGCATGAAGAGTCACGGTATGTTTTAGGAAAAGAAACTAGAGGTTAGAGACCAGGAAGTGATTTTAAGGCTATTGCAATATTATTACAACTTGGAGCTAAGACTGTTTTGGCCTAAATATTGTTGCATATGTTGTTCTTAAAATTTAGAGCTTGATCACATAAAAACTAATATCTTATTTCCCCTACTAAGAATTAAAGTTGAGATAAGTTTACACAAGAATCGCTTAAAATTCCACACTGGAGAGTTTTCTTTTAAGGAAACCTTTATAAGACGCTGCCATTGTTCCTCATTCTTTTCCATATTTAGAGAGCAGGATTTTTAGGGTGTTTCCTTGAAGTGATTCAAGTGGACCAATGTACGTATTAGTAAGTAGAGCAAGCTGGTTTATTTGACCATTATTTAATCACTACAATAAAATGGTACATAGATCAATTGGTCAGTGACCTAGGTGAAATAAATGTGAGCTTTGTCAGAGAAACAGAAGCAGATTTTCTTTAGGTATCATTTATGTTTTATTTACAGTCAATACATTTACATGGTATGTAACAGATTCTTTTCTGTGCATCTGCCGTTGTGTTGCTTGCATGGTGTAGTTGATTTCTGATGCTGAAGTCGCAGAGATATACAGAATATTGGCCTACAGAAATGACAGACAAACAACCATACTGTCTGTCAATTCATAGGTCATTTTCCTGTACACCATTTCTGAATAATGACTCTAATCCTCTTCCATTTTTGGTCCTTTAAGTGACATAACAGTTAATTTTTAAAAATGGATGTTAATTCTTTGTCAGTTTTTAAAGACGGCATGAAAGGCTGTCTTTTTTTTCCTCCTTAATCAAATGAGACCCAAGTGACCATAATTTTTTTTGTCTTTCTTGAATACGCCTCTACATTGAAGTGAGTTGGTAGCCATCAAAAGTAACAGCATCTCCACTGGAAATTGGTGCACAGTCCACATGGAGTTGCTGTTACAGTTGATGACCCCATTAAGCAGATCAGAAGTTTCCTTTTTTTTTTTTTTCGCGGTACGCTGGCCTCTCACTGTTGTGGCCTCTCCCGTTGTGGAGCACAGGCTCTGGACGCGCAGGCTCAGCGGCCATGGCTCACGGGCCCAGCCGCTCTGCGGCATGTGGGATCTTCCTGGACCGGGGCGCAAACCTGTGTCCCCTGCATCGACAGGCGGACTCTCAACCACTGCGCCACCAGGGAAGCCCCTTTCTGCTTTTCTTGATGAAAGTCTATAAATTCTCTCTTAAGGATACTAGTTTCACAGAAGAAAATCTTGATTTATTCATGTTCTGAATAAGCTGAGAGATGGGTAGATTTGAAACTCTGATGTTTAATTTTTATTTGAATTAATGTTCTCATTTGCACTTTGTATTTTCTCAAGAAATAATTCCATTTTTGACTTTAACATCATTGATCATTTTTCTTAATCTGTAATATAATGCCTTTATAATTTAGGTGGAAATCTATTACTAATTAATAAAACAAATACTTTTTAGCATAAAAAAGATAAAATGTAGAAACATTTGCCACCTAGGAAGGAAAAGAGGTTGTTAGTTAAATTGCTTTCATTTCAGACCATTTAATCAATTTAAGAGTATTAATGCAATAGTTAACATGCATTTAGGAAACTTAGCCCCCAAATTCTGGAAATTGTGAGAAATTCACTAGAAGCAGGCAAGGATTTTCAAGTTTGGGTGTTAGCTTTAGCTACCTCAAATTTTTGCTCATGTTAATAATAATGACTTTTTGGTGAAAAAGTTTGATAATGTTCATCAAATAAAAATTTCTTCAAAATTGTTTCCTGTCATCTTCAAAACATAAGTATAGAATTAAATTAAAAATAGAGCTCCCCCACATTTCATTGTGTTCTAGAATTAAACTTAGTAAATAAATATGAAAGAGTTAGCCTCTTACCTCATTCTTATTCCAGTAACTTCCAGAAGAAAAGAATATTATAGTCCTTAATATTTTGGCTTTTATAAAGACGAAATACAGGAAAATGAAACGACAGCAACAGTTTGTTCATTACGTAGCAATCTTAATGCTGTTTAATTTCTGGTAACACGTTAAATAAGCTTCAGCCCAGTTGATAGCAAAGTTTAGAATGATTGGTTGGTGTTATAGTGGCTGGTACTACCTAGCGGATTTTCATGGATTGAAACCTAAGAAGGACACATAATGCGTGTGTTTAGATAAGGCCGTTGCGTAAAGTACAAAGTTTTATGATGGACTTACTGCTTTATGAAATACAGCATTAAGATGGAAGCATAGAGATTATGTAGTGATAAGTGGTTTCACCCACTTTTATCAACAGTAATTTATACGATCTTTAGGTTATAAGTTAACTGTGTGTTTGTGTTAAGTATAGGGTATAATTAACAAAGGGGGGAATTCTTACATTTCAAAAGACAAATTTTGACTACTTGTGTGTTTTGGAAGAATATTTAATATCACTAGAAATGCCCATAAAATTGTCTTAAAACTTTTTAAATCACCATCTCAGTTTTGTAATAAAAAATTACACTTCTAAGTATTTATCCGAAGGAAACAAAAGGACTAACATCTCTTGTACAAAGATATATGTGTGTGTATATATATATATATATCTGTAAGGATGTCTAATACAGTTGTTTATAAAGAAACGTAATTATATGAAAAAGAAGAAATAATTAAAGTCAATTCTGGAAGAATGAATAGGTAGCCATTAAAAATGGTAGCTTAGCTCTTAATGGTTGTGTATGAAAATCAAATAAATGTAGCCCATCCTGACATTTGGCTGTTTCTAAGTTTTTGCTAGTGCTATAATGAGTATCTTTTGAGCACTTGTGCAGCATTTACTTGTATATTTTATCGAAATTATCTTTTCAGATTTTGTTTGAATGTTAAATTTATCTTTATTTTGCAATCTACTATAGTTACCTCAAGTTTGGAGGTTATATGTGTTTTTTTATTGCAAATTTTGTTTTTAAAACTCTGCCACAATATTTTTAGGAGCATTCAGACCACCAGAGTACAAGTCAGAAGAAAGTTTTCACTTAGTGATACCAATTCCGTGCACTTAAATTTTGATTTGTTTGGATTGTGAGAATGTTTTTGTCTTTGAAATCTGCATTCTTATTTGTCATAAATTTTATTCAGTTTTTATACTCTGAGTTGTCTTTATTTTCCTCTTTTTAAAAACTTAAGTAGTATAGTTGTCTAAGATCTCAAAATAGAATTAAGTTACAGAAGATAATGCCCATTAAAGTATATTTAGTACATCATATTTTTATATTTCACAATAAAAAGAAAGGAAGCAAGTCTTGCTCTAAATATTAGTAGGAATTGGTCTATTAATGAAGCAGAGCTGCTTCTCTCCCCTCTTTAAAATGTTTCATATTTCTTTTCGATACGCTGGAAAAAACATTTTTTGGGGGTCCAAATTCATCTGTATATGTCAGAAGGGACACAAATATAATGAGTCATATTTTTAGTAGTATGTAGTTTTATTTATGACAGCCTTTTTGAAACTAGATTTTTAAAAGCTACTACAGGATTATTTTCATTGGTGCAGTTAACATTGTATGGTTATGCCATTTTTAGTAAGTATTATTTAGGTAAACTAAAAAAAACAAAACCAAACTTTCCTCCTCACTGAAATAAGAGACCTTTATGAGTTAAAAAGTATATTTGCAAATAAGGTGTATATAATACAAGATTAAATTTCTTCTCATATTGAAATATTATATTGTATATCTAAGTGAACAACCTATATCTTTATAAGAAAATGTAGCAATTAAAACTTCAACTTTAGTTAGACTAGAGCTGGTTGACTAAACTTGGTAGGATTTTATAGTTGCCTTAATAACATGCCAGCTGCAAAATTGGAATCTTTCTTTGCTGTTGGGTATTTTTAGTTACAGACTCTCTAAGATACTTGAATATAGTTAAGTAATACTTAAAATATAATTCTGAAACTTCATTGAATTTATCTGCTATTTAGCAATATAAAAAAGAACTTAGTTTCATTAGAGTTGAATCAGGCGTTGTGAAACAGATATGTAAGTATCATCTACAGTTGTTAAGGTTACTGACTACAATGTTAGGACTTTTTTAAGAATAAAATTTTTCACATAGCCTTTCTTCTCCCAGCTTTTCCGAATGTTCATAGAAACCGAAGCTCAGAAAAAAAAAATGATGTATTCCTGTCAGTATCTAATAAGTTGCAGATAGCCTCTGCTCTTTGGACTTGGTGCCTGCTCTGTCAGCACACTAATCTCCCGAGACTCCCTGCTGCCCTGACTTGGTCTCTGGTTCACGCTTTCATTACACATGGATAATAAGAGTCTTTTTGCCTTTGCTTAGCAAACCCCAGAGAAGGGGAGTGTGAGTTCACAGATACAGTGTTTGTCTTCATAAATGAGTTAGAAAGGCTGAATGGAGAAGTAAAAGCAGAATCAAGCCGTGATTTAGGAGAGACAGTTTCGAGGCCTGGCTTTTAGTTGTGTTACTTGCTTATTAGGCTCATGATTTAAGGAACCCCAAGGCACAGAACAGTTTATCTGTCAATTTAGCTATAAATATTTTTTTTATGAATCCAATTAGAGAGTGCTTATAAAGTCCTTTTAAAATTATACACATAAATGTGTGTATATAATTTGTGGTATACACATAAATGCTTTTATTTATTTATTTATTTTTTGTGGTATGCGGGCATCTCACTGTTGTGGCCTCTCCCGTTGCGGAGCACAGGCTCCGAACGTGCAGCCTCAGTGGCCGTGGCTCACGGGCCCAGCCGCTCCGCGGCATGTGGGATCTTCCCGGACCGGGGCACGAACCCGTGTCCCCTGCATCGGCAGGCGGACTCTCAACCACTGCGCCACCAGGGAAGCCCAATGCTTTTATTTTGATTAATAATAATATTATTCTTAACGTCTCTACCTTATTTTCTAAATTAATATGAAATTTGAATGATTTTCCTTTATGTTTGTATTTTTTTATCTGTTTCTTTCCAACACATTTAAAGGTGCTTCACTGTTTTTATTTTACTATTTACCGAAAATTACAATCTAATGATAACATTGTAAAGATAGAAAGGAAGAATGAGGGGACTTCCCTGGCAGTCCAGTGGTTAAGACTCTGAGCTTCCAATGCAGGGGGCATGGGTTTAGTCCCTGGTCAGGGAACTAAGATCCCACATGCCGCATGAAGCGGCCAAAAAAAAAAAAAAGAAGGGCAAAATAAAAATGACACTCATATTTAGAATCTTTTTTTAGTGAAAATTTCATAATTGGTATGATATATGTGTATAAATGTACTTTGCTAGTATCTGTCTTTTTTTTAGTTCTAAGAGTAATAGCATTAGGTTTATTCAGATTTTCTATTACAGTATATTCATATTTTCTTAACTGATAAAATGTTCTGTGCAAACTATTAAAATAGTAATATGTAACTAAATATTGTCATATAACTAGGTTGTTATTGCGCAAAGTTTTTATGGTCTCTTGTCACAAAAGTTTATCTTTATTGTTAAAGTCCATCTGAAATGTGTGACTGTATTAGAAATATGGACTTGTGCCCATTTAAACATTCTTATTGTTCATAACTTCTTCAGAATAGATGTGGTAGCATTATACTTTTTCATTCTGTCCTTCATAGTGTAATCAACTTAGGTATTTTGGATATCAATTTGTAGAGCATATTTAATTTAAATGCCCATTTGATTTTTGCTTCCCACAACAATTTTTCATAAACACTTCATTTTATCTAAATTATCAGACCCAGAGAGGTTCAGTGATTTGCCATAGTCATGATTAATAAGAAGCAGATCCAGATTAAGAACTTAGAACTTTTCCTATCCACTCCTCCTTCCATTTCCATCGACTCTCATAGACCTACATTTTTAGTTACTTACATTAATGGAGTGTGGTAGAAAAGAGGATAATTGGAAAGTTCGCTTTAGTGTATATACTTTAATCTCTAAATATTAATATGGATATGTGTTTTGGTAACTGGTTAACAAAATTAACTGTCTTAAGTTTCCTGACTTCAAAGAATCAGTTTATGGGACTTCGCTGGCAGTCCAGTGGTTAAGACTCTATGCTCCCAATGCAGGGCACAAGGTTTGATCTCTGGTCGGGGAACTAAGATCCTACATGCTGCGTGGCAAGGCCAAAAAAACCCCAAAAGAATCAGTTTAAATAATAGCTAATGCTTATATAATACCTATTAATATGTGCCAGACACTGTTCTAGGCATTTTACATATAAGCTCAATTCATATCCATAATAGCTCTATTAATGATACTGTTATTATATGCATTTTGCAAACCAAGGTACGGAAACGTTGAGTGCTTTGCCTAGGGTCACATAGCTAGTAAGTTATAGAGCCAGGAATTAAATGAAAGCTGTCTGGCTCTGGAGTCCATGTTCTTTTTTTTTTTTTTTAATTTATTTTATTGAAGTATAGTTGATTTACAATGTTGTGTTAATTTCTACTGAACAGCAGAGTGATTCAGTGTATCACACTAAATTCTTTTTCATATTCTTTTCCATTATGGTTTATCACAGGGTATTGAATATAGTTCCCTGTGCTATACAGTAGGACCTTGTTGGTTATCCATTCTGTATGTAATAGTTTGCATCTGCTAATCCCAGACTCCTAATCCATCCCCCCTCTCCCCTTTGGCAACCACAAGTCTGTTCTCTGTGAGTGTGTTTCTGTTTCATAGGTAAATTCATTTGTGTCATATTTGAGGTTCCACATATAAGTGGTATCACGTGGTATTAGCCTTTCTCTGTCTGACTTACTTCACTTAGTATGATAATCTCTAGGTCCATCCATGTTGCTGCAAATGGCATTATTTTGTTCTTTTTTATGGCTGAGTAATATTCCATTGTGTATGTGTACCACATCTTCTTTATCCATTCATCTGTCACTTTTCGAATTATAGTTTTCTCTGGATATATGCCCAGTAGTAGATTACAGGATCATATAGCAACTCTACATTTAGTTTTTTGAGGAACCTTCAAACTGTTTTCCATAGTAGCTGCAGCAGTTTACATTCCCATCAGCAATGTAGGAGGGTTCCCTTCTCTCCACACAGGGTCCATGTTCTTGACCAATATATTCTGTGTCTCAGTGGAAAGCAACTAGAGGAAGTTGTAATGTCCATAAAGCTGTGATAATAACTTAAAAGTATATTATTCCTGTGAGAAAATTTAGTATAAGATTTTCCCTGAGTTTAATTTTCAGACAATTTATAACTGTGTATTTTATCTTCCCAAAGATAATGATCAATTTCAGTACTCATTTGATATGCATTTATTGGCTTTCTGTTGTGTGTTAGGCATGTGTTAAATTTTACTGGATCATCTCATTTAGTTTGCAGTCATTCTGACGAGAGTATCTAGGATCATTAAAGTGCAAGTTCCACTACAGTGGGAATCTTATCTGCCTTGTTAACTGCTGTATCTCCAGTGCCTAGAACAGCGTCCAAAACATTGGAGATACTCAAATTATTTTTGAACAAAAATCGTACTATTCTTCTTAACAGAAGGGACAACCAAGACTTAGAGAAGTTTTAGTACTTGTGTGTGGTCATATATATAAAAAGTAGCCGAGTCAAGATATAAACCTGGATATCTGTTATCAAATATCAGATCTCAAAATCTGTGCTCTGGTACAGTATTGCCTCTTATACAGATGTATTTGGACTCAGTCCTATAAGCAGTGAGGGGGCACTGCAAATCTTTGAGAGGGGATTGGTGTGATAAAAGCAGTTTTAGGAGTGCAACTCTTTCAAAGATGTGTCATATAAATTAAATTTCATGTGTCATGTAGAGGAATGAGCATAGGGGAAAAGTCAGACCATTGCATCAATCTAGTATTGACGCAGTGAGGTTGGACTAATATTCTTTTATTTACTCAAAGAATAAATTTGAGTAATATTTCAAGGTAGAAACTGACAGAATGTGGTGGCTTAGTTTGAGCAGAAATTGGAGGAGGTAGATAATTAGCAGGTTTTGAATATAGGTACTTGGATAGAAAATAGATTGATAGAAACAGGGAAATCAGTAACTGAAATAGGGATATCAGGAGAAGTCGTTTTTGTTTTTCTTTTTCTTTTAAGGGCTCCATATGATCAATTTTATTTTATTTTATTGAATTTAAGATGGCAGCAGGAACTAAGTAAGCAAGTAACTGAAGATAATACCACTAAATTTGGGGGAAAAGATAGGAAAAAATACCCTGCATATTGGGATAAATATCCTGCAGATAGGGAAAAAATACTACTGTTTCTTAAATTTAAAATATTAGGTATTAATCACAATAATTAAGTGAACAATTCTACTTTGTTCCCCCTAAAATAGCCAAACTATTGAGCATATTATTAAACTAGTGGAGGAACATGGCAGTGATATCTGGTGGACTCTTCCCCCGGAGCAACTTCTTCCAAAAGAAGTCTTATCTCAGGTAAATTTCTGTTCGTATTTAACAGCCTTTGTTATGTATTGCATGATTTAATGACAACACGAGATTCCCTGGGAGTTAAAAAGTAGTTATGTTATCATGTCAAGTTCATGAGTTTATTCATCATAAATGAGGAGCCGGTGCAGTTTGAGAGTAGACATTTTTATTTAGCTAGAGAAGCTGGGTATATAGTGTAGCAGTAGAGTGTGAGGGATATTTGCTGTCTCACTGAGGGCCAAGATTGATTTTAACTGCTTTGTTGGCTGAGCAGAGAGAGGCACTTGTGACTTTGAGGGAACAGTGCCTAACATTGCTATATCAGGACTTCGTAGGACATGAATTCGAGTTAACTGATGGCATCACATGTTGAAGAATCCAAATTGGAAGATTATCAAGAAATAAAAAGTTTATATTTCCATTAGTAAATGTATAGTTAAGTGGCCACAATCACTTTTACATGCAAATGAAGCAGTTGTACGTAATTGCAAAATACTTTAAAATGTCTGAAATTTCATTTTAAAATGTGAATTTAATGGTTGTAAGTATTTCATTTTCTTAAGACCTTTTTGGGTATTAATTGTAAATGTTGTGATGGCTGTGTAATTAAAATGTTTTTACATTATCTTACTAGGTTGGTGGTCCTGATGCTTTGGAGTATGTGCCAGGTCAGGATATTTTGGACATCTGGTTTGACAGTGGAACTTCATGGTCTTATGTTCTTCCAGGTAATTTAAAATAGTAGATTAAATACCAATCAAGCAGTTTTGAAAATAAATGCTATCAGAAGAAATCTATAATCAAGAACTCTTTTTTTTTTATGCTTTATTTGGAAGTACATCGGCTATAATATAATATAATTTTAGATCTGGAAGAGCTATTGGATCTTTTAATCATTTTAAAAAAATGATTAAAAATCATTTAATCCAATGCTTTCTGAACTTTTTTTTTTCCATTTGAAATTTTTATATAGAACCACAATATATAAGATTAATAAAAATGGGAATTTTCTTCCTCCTCTCGGTCAGCTCATTCTCCTTGACCCCAAGGCCCTCAGTTCTGTAAAACAAAGTTTGGAAATCACTGAAATAGCCTGACCCAATCATTTTTCAGAAGAGGAGGTGAGATTGGATTAGGGTCCAATTAGGTGATGGTTACATAGCTTAGTGTCAGGCTAGAAGTCGGGTACCCTGCTTTCCGGTTCTCATTCGTCTGTACTCTGTTACCTTCTCACAGCTTTACCCCTGTCTATGCAGACAGCTGACTAATTTCTACTTCCTCACAGTTAGGGGAAGCTTTTGACTCCGTGGATAAAAAGGGAGGCGAGATTGGGCAGGAATTAGAAGGGAGTAGTAGCAGGCACACAGAGGACGTGTTTAGATGTGAGAAGATACCTTCAAGGATACTAAGTGAGAAGCTAGAAGTGAAATGAAATAGAGCTTGTCCCCACTGTGAGGTTAAAGACCGGAATGAGGTGCCAGGGAAGCAACGCTGCATCAGACAGGTCCTCACATTGCTGCTGAGTGCTGGCTTTTACCCAGGAGATCCTGTTTGCTTTCTGGAGCAAAGGAATGTGGGAAAACAGCTTGCCTGTTCAGCTGACCATTGTTAAAGGGATGAAGAGGGATCGTGGTCAAGTTTTACCTGGGGTATATTTCTGGTAGTAGGCCTCATTACTGAGAGAACAGCAATGTGATTCCTAGCAGGTAAATGCTAGGAATGCTCTAATTGGGCCTTTCTTTCAGCATAGGAAATTTGAAAAGCAAAATACACAGAAATTCATGCTTACTCTGTATTATAGCTAAATTGTACATAAAAATTCATAATCTAATATAATTTTTATAATATTGTATGCAGTAATTTTCAGAATTATTATTTCATACGTTTCTCCCACCATACTCAAGAGAAAATATTGCCAGTTTAGGTACTTTGTTTTCCTAAATTATATTGAAAATGTCGGCAGATAACACTACAGAAAGTAGGTAGGTGGGTTAAATAGTGTTATGTTATAAACAGGAAAAAGTACCTCCTACCACATTTGGGGCAGCATCCTGAATTTCAAAATAGAATAAATATGCCGTATGTGAAATAGTGCTTACAAAGTATATTTCAAAGCTCATTAGCTGCTTCAGCCTTGGTGAGAATTGCGGCTACTGGCATTGTTGCTTTTTAATTTCTAAAGTGGTTTTATGTTACCAAGTGCAGCACATGCAAATTATACCTGGAGCCATTGACTGTTAAACTGTGTGAAAATTGTCATTAAAACCTATCTGTGCTGCTGTTGGTGGTACAGATAGAGTTTAGTTGTACTATTTCAAGTTTGTTCTTAACCAAATATTTGACAGTGACAGAGATAGTTTATCAAATGAAATTAGTGGTAAAAATGCACCTAATCAGTAAATCATTTTTTCCTTCCATGTCATATATAGCTAATTAATTCAAAGAAGGAAAATCATTTTGCCATTTAAACATGTGTGTTGCATGCATAGGAGGATGCCAGAACATAAGTAAACTATCTTCACAGGTAATACACAAACCCTATTTTATTTTATTTTATTTCATTTTGGCCGTACTGTGCGGCTCGTGGGTTCTTAGTTCCCCGACGAGGGATTGAACCCGGGCCCCCGGCAGTGGAAGTGCTGAGTCCTAACCACTGGCCCACCAGGGAATTCCCACAAACCCAATTTTAGACTATAGTTTCTACTTTTTCACTGAGATCTTATATTCCTCTTCCTCAAAAAAAAGTAAAGAATAAGTAAAATAAAAATCTTATGAGATTGATCAGTAACAGATTAATTGGTTTATATTTCATTCTGTTTTCCTCCCTTTTCTTCTTTCATGATAAAAAATTTCAAAAGATAGGCAGAAAGAATGAGGTGGGAAGGAGTCCAGATACTAGGTGAATTCATAGTTCAAAAAACCATAAAGCAAAGGTGATTTTCCTTTAAAAAACAAAACAAAATGAGCAGTCATCTACTTTCCTGGGAAGGCTTATTGTACTTTTCATTCTCAGATGGCTTGTATCAAGTCTAATATGAAATGATTCAATGTCTGCATGTTTCCTTGAGAGTGTATTATTGCAAAGTAAAATCAGCTTGATTTTGAGCTTAATTTTAGATACCAGTCTTCATCAGTATCTACTAATGTTTAACGAGTTGAATTTGGTGATTACATAGCATACATATCTAGTTTTACTTTTTGGTGACAGATTTTATGGCAGTGAAAGAGATTTCGCTTCTGTTTTCACACCAGGTCAAGTACCTGGTGAGTTCTTTGTGAGTTTCACTGTGAGTGAGTTCAAAGTCAGTAAAACTTAAGAAATTGAAACTTGAACACTTTCTGAAAGGGAATGGCATTTAAAGTGAATTAAATATAAGTAATAAGTCATATCCATATTTCTAAAACATTCCTTAAATGTTAACCAAAGATATTAATTATTGCATTGATTTAAAACTAATTAATATTTAAACTTTTTAAAAAATAGCTTTATTTTTTTGAAAAAATTTGTATAGACGATCTTATTTACAAAGCAGAAATAGAGACACAGACGACAACTTATGGATACCAAAGGGGAAAGAAAGGGGGTGGTGGGATCAATTGGGAGATTGGGATTGACATATATACACTGTTGATACTATGTATAAAATAGGTAACTAATGAGAACCTACTGTATAGCACAGGGAACTCTACTCATTGCTCTGTGATGACCTAAATGAGAAGGAAATCCAAAGAGGGGATATATGTACAGCTGATTCACTTTGCTGTACAGTATAAACTAACACAATATTGTAAAGCAACTATACGCCAATAAAAATTCTAAAAAATAAAACGAATTAATGTTTAAAATTTTTAAAAAATAGAAAAGTAGAGAGAATCCATACCCCTTGAACCCCTTCCCCACAGCCTTCCCATTATCAGCATCCCACGCCAGGGTGGTCTATTTGTTACGTTCGATGACCCCACGTTGACAAATCATTATCATCCAGGGTCCATAGTTTACATTAGAGTTCACTGTTGGTGATGTACATTCTGTGGGTTTTGACAAATGTATAATGGCATGTATCACACAGAATAGGTTTATGGCCCCCCAAATCTTCTGCTCCACCTTTTCATCCCTTGTTCCCTACTAACCCCTGGCAGCCACTGATCTTTTTACTGTCTCCATAATTTCGCCCTTTCCAGAATGTGGTATAGTTGGAGTCATACAGGATGTAGCCTTTTCACTTTGGCTTCTTTTACTTAATAATATGTATTCAAGGTTCCTCCATGTCTTTTCTTGGCTTGATAGCTCATTACTTTTTAGTGCTGAACAATACTTCATTGTCTGGATATACCACAGTTTATCCATTCACCTGGTGAAGTAAGTAGTGTTTTAAAATATTTATTCTACATCATTTCTGATTCTTTTTAACAGATAAATAACTTGAAGTAGAGAAAAGAGATCATTTTTTGAAACAGAAACTTAGATTTACAAATAAGTTTTTTTTAAAGTTACCCTTTTAAGGACATATACAGTACTAATAGCTTAATTTCAAAAATTAATGATTATTTTTAGCAATTATTTTTTGTTTAAATTATTTTTAAATGTATGTACATTAAACAGTAGTTTTGCCAGATGTTTGTGCTGGTTCTACAACCTGCCTTCTTAGTTCAATATAATAATCTTGCTCAAAATTCATCAATTCAGCAAAATTATACAAATTTAGTAATGAAATTGTAGATTACTCAGTTTTTTGCGAATTCCTCTTTGATAGTAATTTTTTAGCAGTTGGTTTATTCTCTAAATTTTTACCATACCTAAATCACAATCCTAGAGGTATTGAACAGTTGTTTCCTCTAAACGTGAATCTTTACTTTTTTTTTGGCTGCGCAGGCAACTTGTGGGATCTCAGTTTCCTGACTAGGGACTGAACCCGGGTCACAGGAGTGAAAGCCTAGAATCCTAACTACTAGGCCACCAGGGAATTCCTACAATTTTCATAAGAGCAAAAGTTATTGTAAAGAAATACTAACTTTTTACCACATGGTTAATCGCTACTTTTCCTGGAATTTTAAGACACCAAACATACTACGCCTCCATAAGAAGGTTCTAAATTTTTCTTTCACTGAAAGATCTATGCAGGGGCTTCCCCGGCGGTCCAGTGGTTAAGACTCCACACTTCCAATGCAAGGGGCACAGATTTGATCCCTGGTTGGGGAACTAAGATCCACATGCTGCCAAGAAAATATTAAAAAATAATGATAATAATAATAAAATTACAAAAAAATCTATGCAGGAAGGAAAAAGGATAAAAAATAGGCAGAAAAAAAACGGTACCGTTTCTCCCTCTTGTACACTGCTAGTGGAAGTGTAAATTGGCACAGACCAGAAGGGGTTTTCACATTATGCGTCAAAAGCTTTGAAGTAGTTTTCTGTCTTTTGACTGAGTGATTCCACTTAGGAATCTGTTCTGTAGTATAGAAGTAATCAGATCTGGATGAAAAATTATGTGTGAAGATATTCATTACAGTATTATTTCAAATAGTAAATGACATTGACCAACAACCCAATGTCCATCTGTAGAAAAATGGCTAAAGTGATATGGCATACATTCATATGATAGAATGATATGCCTCCATTAAGTCATGTTTTTGAACATTTTTTGAACATTAAATGGTCATGGGAAAGTATTATTTAAGGGCGTGTTAAATTTTAAAAGTGCAGAATACAACGATGTAGGATATTTACTCATGTAAATATTGGTATGCATAGACAAAATAGTGGAAGGAAATATGCTGAAATAAAGTGATTATCTCCGGGTATTGGGAATATATGTGATTTTATTTTCTTGAACTTTACTGTTTTACAAGTTTCTTAAAGTGAGAATATGCTTTTTGTTGTTAGAAAAAAAATTAAGCATTACTAAAAATAAACTTACTAGAACAGAAAATAGTCCCAGTAATTAATTATATGAGGTTGTTAAATGATTCTACAGTATACCAGCACTTGAGTTTGACTGTGGTTCGTATTACTTACCATCCAAGACTAAACTTCTCATCTTCATTTTGAAAGTTCCTATAAACTTTATCTTTCCATTTCTTACTCAGTGCTTTGCTACTCCAAAACTTCCCCACCTCCATCTTTTTCTTCTGGTTTCATACACCATCTTGGCAGGCTCTTGTTTGCAGAAATTTTCTAGGGTTACACTTCCTTTTCCAGAATGATATTTTGCTCCTTACCCAATTCCAGTAATTCAGCATATATGAGAAATGAGAAAGACACCAAGACTTTACCCTTAATATGAATTAGTTGTTTTGTTGTGCTATTATTAATGGCCTGATTTTATTAGGTACAGCATGTGTTTCTAGGACAGAATCAGAGACCATGTATTTTAAAAGTAATTTAGTATACCTAATCACATTTTTGCAAGTATTCCTTCATATAAAACTGTTTGAAAAAATATACCATCAGCAACTATCAAGTGCTCTTTATGATGTATCTTAATAATAATTAACATTTACTGAGTATTTACTATGTCCTAAGCATGTTATATTACGTGTTTAATCTCTAGAACAACCTTGTAAGTAGATTTTGGTGTTATCCTCAGTTCAGTGAGGAAGAAATGGAAGCATGGAAAGGTTATGCTAAGGCCCCATGGGTAGTAAGCGCCACAACCAGGATTTGGACCCAGGCAGTCTGAATCTAGCCACTGTGCAGTCTTCAAATTGCTTTTATTCGGCATAGTGTAAGTCCTTAGGCAACAGCCAGCTTTCTTAAAACTAAAAATTTTAGAGCTGGCAAAGATTTTAGAGATTATTTAAACCCTTTGTTTTTTTAGGTGTGTTAATCAAGGCTTGGAAGCAATGATTTCTCCAAGATGACAGAACGTTAGTTGGATTTCATGATTATGGACTGTCATTTCATTAGGCCAGAAGTAGGTATTTTCTGAAGAAATGAAAATTTCTTGGGAATACTTCCTGCTATTTCATTTTCCACTTATTTCAGAGAAGGATTTCCCCTAGTATTCTGTTATTAATCTTCTCATTAATTATTGCTACATCCAAAATGTGGTCTCCAGTAGGAAGTTAACATTTTGTGTGGGATGGGGTTTAAGTACTGGTATTGTAAAAGTTTAAATGGTTACAGATCGGTAGAGGAAGAAGGAAAGTAGGATATAGATGTAACATTCTAGATGTTGAGGATAAAATTTTTGTTCTCATTGCATAGGCATTTATCATTTTATATTATCCTAGGCTTTCCTAACTACATAGACTAGGCTAACCTGTGTTTTCATCCTGATGACAACATAGTTATTTCTTGTTTAACAGAAAATCTACCCTATTGGCTATCATCTCCAAGAGGGCAGATAGCACAGTGCCTGCTAGGTGCTTGATAATGTTAGTTGAATTTAACTAATTTAATGTTTGATTACATTATTTCAGTTTTGTCTCCCACCTTCACCCAGATACTCTTTGTCACATAAGGATTACAACACTGAATCTTCAATGTTAGGACATAAGAGCAAATCACCATCATTTTACAAATAAAAAGGGATTGTGGGGGTTTCTTAGAGTTCTGAGTTTAGGTTTAAAATATGGAAGTAATCTTCCCCAAAGACCTCATGCTCCTTTTTTTGAAAACCATTTTTATTCTGAAAAGTCACAGAATAGTATAAAGAAGTACATACCTTCACCTAGATTTTCCATAGTCAACATCTGGCCACATTTGCTTTATATATATTTTTTCTATATGGATATATAAACAAACTTTATTCTGTACAATTTAAAGATAAGTTGCAGACTTGATGCTCTTTTATCCCAAAATATTTCAGTGTGTATTTCCTAAAAACATGGACAGTCTCTTGTATAACCAATATGAACATCAAAATCAGGAAATTAGCACTGATTCCATACTGTTACCTATCTATAGATCTTACTCCAATTTCACCCAGTAATGTCCTATATGGGAAAAGAAAAAAATAAATAAAAAGCGGTCTAGACCCAATCTAGGATCTCATGTGACATTTAGTTATCTCTTTAGTCTCCTCATTTTGTCCTTGTCTTTCATAAACTTGACATTCATGAAGGTACAGGTGGTTTATTTTGTAGAAGATAGTACCTCAGTTTGGGTTTCTTTGACGTGTTCTCATGATTGGATTTAGATTGTGCATTTTCGGCAGAAATATCACAGAAGTGATACTGTGTCCTTTTCAGTGCATCATGTCAGAAGTCACATGATGTCTTTTGCTGGTGATGTTTAACTTTGATCACTTGGTTAAGGTGGTGCCTGCCCATTTTCTCTTGCAGGGTTACTCCTCCCCCACCCCCATCTCCCCATCGTAATTGTTATTATACGTACAGTTGACCCTTGAACAACGTTGGTAGGGGCACCAACCCTCCATGCAGTCCAAGTCTAACTTCATAGTTGGCCCTTCATATTCGTGGTTCCACATCCATGGATTCAGCCAGCGGCAGATCATGTAGCACTATAGCACGTATTTAGTTAAAAAATTCCGGCTGTAAGTGGGCACTCACATTTCAAACCAGCGTTGTTCAAGGGTCAACTGTATCTTGTAGAGAGATACTTTAAGACTGTGGAAATATCCTGTTTTCTCACCAGATTTTCACCTAGTATTTAAGCGTCCTTGATGATTTTTGACTGAAATGATCATTACTTATGATGTTTGCCAAATGGTCCCGTATTTCGGATTTTTAACTCTTGAATCAACTGTTATTTGTTGAATGCTGAAGTAGCTCTCAAGCTTGGGTACATATATGTTCTAACGAATTTGAGGCTAAATTATTTGTACGGCATTATTTTTTCTTTTGCCATGTTTTTTCTTAAAGACTTAATTTTTTAAGAGCAGTTTCAGGTTCACAAGACTTAATTTTTTAAGAGCAGTTTCAGGTTCACAGCAAAATGAAGAGGAAGGTGCGGAGATTTCCCTGTACCCTCTGCCCTCACACAGGCAGTCTTCCCTGTTATCAAGGTCCCCCACCAGAGTGGTACATTTGTTACAACGGATGGACCTACCTTGACACATCATCATCATCCAAAGTAGATAGTCTACATTAGGGTTTACTGTTTGGACAAATGTATAATGACATGTATCCATCATGATAGTATCATTTGGAGTATTTTCACTGCCCTAAAAATCCTCTGCACTCTGCCTGCTCATTCCTCACCTGCCCTGCCACCAACCTCGTGCCTCAACCCCTGGCTCATAGGGCTTTTTTATGCTTTGCCCATCTTTTGACTGGGTCGTTGTCAAATTAGAAGTTAATAACTTGCCCTTTATAAGACATTTTTTCCTAATTTGTTTAATATCTTGGTTAAGTGCATATGCTCCGTGGCCAGATGGTCTACATTTAGACTCCATGTCTACTGCTTACTGTCTGCATAACCTTGGGCAAGTTATAAAATCTCTTAGTGTCTCACTTTCCTCATCAGTAAAATGGGGATAATAATAATATCTACTTTCTAGAGTTACTATGAGAATTAAATGACAACATATAAAGTTATTGGATACTTAGCAAATAATTGTTGAATTAATAAAAATAGTTTATTTTCATAAAAGATTTAACTGGAAATATTGATATTGGTAGTTAATATGAATCAGTCCCTAATTTAGATAATATTTTAGTTATCTGTGGTTTAGGAGATCATACTCCAAGGTTTATTTTCTTCATCTTGATTAATAAATTGGCAGTGAGGGTAACAGCCCAAGTGAATGCAACCTAGCCATTGGGTATAGCATGACACAAGCAATAAGTAACATGATTACTTTTAATATTTTAATACCTTGATAAATATTCATTTCCATTTTCCTATTTAATTAACTTAAATTTGTTTTTTCATATTTGTTTTTGAGGTACTGACCAAAGAGCAGATTTGTACATGGAAGGAAAAGACCAGCTTGGGGGTTGGTTTCAGTCTTCCTTATTAACAAGTGTGGCAGCAAGGAATAAATCACCTTTTAAGTAAGTCTTACACCTGAGCTGAACAAGTCAGCACACGGTTGAGTGTTTCTACTGAATACTCGCCAGTGTGTGAAGCACTGTACTGAATAATATGTATGTGATAAAACACTGCCCTTAATTAATTAGCTTATAGTCTGCAGTCTCAGGAGAGAAATAGGTTTGAAGTAAAAAAAAAAAAAAAAAAGGAGACAAAAATGGAGACAGCAGTACAAAGAAGCCTTGTCACTTCAATACAGGTCATAATTCCTAGAAGAGGTAAAACCGGCATTGACTGGAGTAGTGGAGAAACCCACACGATGGATGTGGAGAAGGATATTCTAGCTTGACTGAGGACAGCCTCAGTCAGATATCCTTACATTTGTAATTTCCACAAGTGGCTAATGGATGGAAATATTTCTTTAGTGAATTTTATTAAATTAGGGATTCTTATTTAGTTACAGAGAATAGCTTTTCCTTATTCAAATATGTGAATGGAGGTTCTAATCAGAAAGATTCTTTAATAGCTTAAGATTTTTGCTATCTTAAAGTGAAAACCCATCGCACAATTTGCATGTTTTATGTCTCTTGTATAACATGCTTTTAAAAGTCGATAGAACAGCAGATATATATTTCTCTCAAATTGTCCTTTTGAAGATAATTTTTTTTTAAGACATTTTCCTGGTTAGTTTTAATGATCAAAATCAGTACATAATAGATGCTCAGGAGATAATTGTTTAGTGAATGTAAACATAAAAATTTTGTGTATAAGAGAGCTTACTATTTATCAGGATAAACAAGTAGCTGAGAATCAGACTTTGAAGAAAAGTTTTCATACATAATTTGTCAAGAAAAAAGATTTTTATGTCAAACTAAGTTACTCTTTTTAAGCTGTGAGTCATCTTCAAAAAGACCATCATCATTGTGTTCATTATTATAATAGCTAATTTGTCTTCTTAGGACAGTGGTTGTTCATGGATTTACCCTTGGAGAAAAGGGAGAAAAGATGTCCAAGTCTCTCGGGAATGTCATTGATCCTGATGTTGTCATTAATGGAGGACAAGTAGGTGGTTCCCTAAAAATTCATTTTATTTTTAAGGCTAAGTTGGCAGCCAGGACCCTTAATATAGTTACTTCAATGTAAAAAAAAACCTCACAAAACTATCTTTTATACTAATAGCAAATGCTTTACCATGTTTTAAATCTAGACTCTCAAATGATATGTGATTTTTTTCTTTTGTTTTGAAAAAGGGCAGGGTTGGGATTGTGGCCCTTTTGACTCATTTCAGGTCTGAATCTCCAGTTAGGTCCTGAGCCATGCTATCCCTCTTTTAATTGTCTGAACTTTAAAACTTTATAAACTGTAGTTTTACAGTTAAACAGAAACAGTATAGGAAAAAAATTAGATCACATCTTCTAAATGCATGTTTCAGGGAATCCCCTGGAGGCCCCGTGGTTAGGACTTGGCGCTTTCCCTATGGGGGCCCAGGTTCGATCCCTGGTCAAGGAACTGAGATCCCGCAAGCCATGCAGCCATGAATAAATGAATGAATGAATGAATGAATGTTTTATTATTATATTCTTGGAAATGATACACTTTAAAGCAAGTCATTAATGAACATCAGTCTGGGGTTGCTGATACTTTGGTTTATTTTGGAGTTGCTTTCAGAAAAGAAATCCCTTCTCTGTTATTTTACTCCCTTGGCTTTTTACTGCCCTCCTAGTGTCCAGTAATCAACTCTCTTTGTCGGAGTAGCTTGGGAATATTGTGAGGGAAAAGCAATCCTTTCCCTCCCCCGGCCCGCTCCCCCATCACAGACGCATCTGGGGCAGTACTCTGTCCACCTGCTGTAGTGGCTGTTTACAGACATGACAGGAAGCCACTGAACAAGATTGCAGGCCGAACTCTCCCTTTTTCCAGTTTTGTTGTTGTTTTAGATTCAGCCTGATCTCTGAGATCATTAGCCCTTATTTTGTTACAGTACGGTTATATTTTATGCTTACATTTTGCTCAAACATTTCTAAATAGGAGTCTTACCTAAAGCCTCTGTTCACCAAATTGTAATCGAAAGCCATTTATATGTTTATATGTTTTTTTCCCTCAATGAAAAGGATCAAAGCAAAGAGCCTCCCTATGGTGCTGATGTCCTTCGCTGGTGGGTCGCTGAGTCCAATGTCTTCACTGAAGTGATAATTAGTCCATCTGTACTGAATGCTGCCAGAGATGATATTAGCAAGGTCAGAGTCACTACTCTTTCTATTATGTACTATTCCCGAATGAAAAGTTTACTGAGTCGTTAAAAAAAAATGAGGCACATTTTTGTTGGCACTTCACAACTGAATGAAAATGAGTTCTCCACGTTATGAGCTTTTAAAAATACCCTGTGCTAATTTATTTGTTTAAAAGTATTAGTAGTAATGCTGATAATTTTATATACTGTTTTTTTATATTTTAATATAATATGAAATTATACTAATTTTGTATACTTTTTATGTGCTCAATGACTGTGCACATTTATTCCATTTATTTTTACCTACACAACATTCTTAGCGACACAGATGAACAAACGGGCCACTGAAAGGCGATTTGCCCTTAGATTTTAAAGAAATATAATGAAAATTCAGTTTTTATGTATAAAGTACAGTGGTTGTTTCTGCAACTGAGCTTTTGAAATGAGTTTTTCTGCATTTGTAGTCTTATTATAGGAATGATATAACAAAGTATCCCATTAAGAAAGTAACATGAGTTGGATAAAAATTATAAAGAAAATAATTTTTCAGTAATAATTGAAGGACTCATATATTGTTTGACTGTATATTTTTTTCCTCAATATTTATAGCTTAGGAATACACTCCGCTTTCTTTTGGGAAACGTGGCTGGTTTCAACCCAGAAACAGATTCTATCCCTGTTAACAATATGTATTTCATAGACCAGTATATGCTACACTTACTGCAGGATTTAGCAAACAAGGTAAGTGTGCATTAATAAGCTTTTGGAAATAGCACAGTTGTATGTTGAAATTTGGGTTGTACACGAGTGGAGCATTCCTTATTAGAAATAGTATCTAAAAACACTAAAAAAAGTTATACTTGGGCTTCCCTGGTGGCGCAGTGGTTGAGAGTCTGCCTGCCGATGCAGCGGACACGGGTTCGTGCCCCGGTCCAGGAAGATCCCACATGCCGTGGAGCGGCTGGGCCCATGAGCCATGGCCACTGAGCCTGCGCGTCCGGAGCCTGTGCTCTGCAACGGCAGAGGCCACAACAGTGAGGGGCCTGCGTACCGCAAATTAAAAAAAAAAAAAAAAAATTTGATAAATTCCACATGGTCCTAGGTTGATTAGGTATGAAGTCTTATGATTTCTTTCCTGGTCTCTCAAAAGACTACAGGAGTACCTGGTGGCAGCAGTAGGCCCAGGCCTCCCCTCAGACCACATTTTTCTCTTGAAATCAGTTCCATGTATTTCTTTAATAGGAAGGAATAAAATAGAGTTGTACTTTATTTAACTGCAGAAGTATAGAAATATACATCTCAAAAGTATAGAAATAACTGAAATGATGATTCCTATGTTGTCTTATAAGATATCCTGTCATATATAAACACAAATATTTTGTGTTTTCTCAAAAATTAAAATTGCTTCCACATACCCTTAAGAGTCGTACATGCAGATTTTCGCCCAATTTGACTTTTCAGGCATAAATGAAGGAACATTGGTAACTTAAACTCTTTGCGGTTTTAAAATAGTGTGGCTTCATCATTTAAAACCTGATCTTTTCATTTGGCGTGTGTTCTTTTGTAGTTTTCAGGGTAGACTATTCAGTGTTTTCTGAGGATGGTGACTTTCATATCCAGAAATGACGTTTTAAAGATCCTTAAGTGCTCTCGCGTTTTGCTGGTTTTGTATTTGTCTGCCTTTGAAACATATTTTGAAAAGGAACATATTTTGCTCATGATGACTTGCATTTTTATTTGCTTATCCCAGCTTCCGAATTTATTTTGGCTTTGTTCCCTAGATTACCGATGCATATAAGCAGTATGACTTTGGAAAAGTTGTTCGGCTATTACGAGCATTTTATACCAGAGAACTCTCCAACTTTTATTTCAGCATAATCAAAGATAGGTATGTATGACTGAATATTGAAATACTCAGCAAACACTGCTTGAACGTCTGCGCTGCCTGGCAGATGTTGGAAAGCAGAGGCGAGCAAGAGGGGCTGCCCTGTACCGTTATTAAGAAGTTGGGTTCTTGAGTCAAGTCTGATTAGGAAGTTTCATCCTGTCACTAGCTTTATGAGCTGAGGCAACTTATCCTATAATCTCAGTTTTTTAATCTGTAAAATGGTGACGATAATACCTGTCTCAGAATGTGGAAATGAAAAGATACAATGTAAGTCATGTGCTGAATGCTGTGTTTGACAGAGTAAGTGCTCAGTAAGTACTAGCTGTGAATATGAGGTAGCGAACGTACTGCTTGTCCTCAGGAGTTTGCTGACTTTGAGGGGGATATTTCTCAGAGAGAAGTATTCAGCCAGTTATTAATATAATGACATTGTATAACATCAGCGATACCCTTTTAGAGGCAGGCTTGGTGCTGTCTTCATGTTTTGCTCCAGAATGCAGGCGACACGGTGTGACTCTTATGTGTGACAGTAACTGAGCCAGTGTGAGGTGTCAGCCGCAGTCTATCAGTACCTCAGGGACCTTCCACTGGGACTGTAACTCCCAGTCCTTCCCTTGACACACTGAGAGGGTCACAGGGGTGGGGAGTCACATTTTTAAATACCTTCAACTAACATTAATTTTCCTTTAACACAGTTGTCTAGATTCTAGCTGTTACTGATCGGAAAAACAGAATTGGACATAGCGTAGGTATGAGAGTTTTTGAGGAGGTGGGCACACTTGGAAGGCATAGAGGATGTTATCAAAAAGGTTGTATGGGGCTTCCCTGGTGTCGCAGTGGTTAAGAATCCGCCTGCCAGTGCAGGGGACACGGGTTCGTGCCCCGGTTCGGGAAGGTCCCACATGGCCGCGGAGCGGCTGGGCCCGTGAGCCACAACTACTGAGCCTGCGCGTCTGGAGCCTGTGCTCCGCAACGGGAGAGGCCGTGACAGTGAGTGGCCCCCGCTCGCAGCAACTGGAGAAACCCCTCGCACAGAAACAAAGACCCAGCACACACAAAAATAAATTAAAGAAAAAAAGTTGTATGATGGAATATTTTATCCTTTAATTAGAAGACGTTGGAGCCATAGGCTTAGGCACTGTCAGAATGAACTCAGCCTGAGGCAGATCCCATCTTGGCAGTCATCGTGTACAAAGTGTTGTCAACCGCTCAATAAGTTGTTCTTCAACAGGCTTTATTGTGAAAATGCAGATGATCCCAAACGACGCTCTTGTCAGACTGCATTAGCCGAAATTTTGGATGTAATGGTTCGTTCTTTTGCTCCCATTCTTCCTCACTTGGCTGAAGAGGTATTCCAGTACGTACCTTACATTAAAGGTAAGAAATACTTGATTTGTTCTCTGAATGAAAAAGACCCTGGCTGAGGGTGCAGCTTCTCATTTTATCTACTTCACAAAAGAGGCACTTATTCATCTACAGTGACTGTTTTGTGGCCTTTTGCATCTCGATCATTTAGTAGTTTCTGCACCTGTGTGTGGAGTAGGATGAATTTCAGCGTGGTCTTCATGCCACCTTAAAGTGCTTTCTGAAATGTATTAGCAGCTTGACTATATTGAGAAATCACTTTTTCTTAAATACCTTTATAAATGTCAGAAATATATTTTAGGCTTTTACTAAAACAAACGTATAGTGTCTGAATATTTTTATAATAGTTTTTTCTGTCTGGTTGTATTAATAAGCTTACAGAAAATTAGAAACTGTAGAATTCTAGAAAGAGGACAAAAGTCACTCATGATCTTACTTATAACCCAGAGACAACTACTGTAATATTGGGATATTTCTATTTTATTTTCTTCTAGGCATCCTTTGAGATCTCACTGTATATCTTTATCCTTTGTTTACATTTCCAAATGTTGATATAAATGTTTGGTAAGCATTTAGGATGGCTCCGTGCTAATTGTCATAAATAACAATTCTTATTTTCCATGCATAGTAAATATTTGATGGTTTGAGCTTTATATACAGTTTAAAATATATGTAAATTGGTTAACTTTTTTTTTTATAAGAACCCAAGAGTGTTTTTCGTACTGGATGGATTAGAACCAGTTCTATCTGGAAGAAGCCTGGACTGGAAGAAGCAATAGAGAGTGCATGTGCGATGAGAGATTCATTTCTTGGAAGCATCCCTGGCAGAAATGCAGCTGAGTATGAGGTTATCATTGTGATTGAGCCTGGACTGCTTTTTGAGATAATAGAAGTAAGTAGCAATTTGTTCCCTTTGAAATGGTGTTCATATCATACAGCTTCATGTGAAATTTAGTTTTAAAAAATCTCAGTGTAAATAATATATTTTAAAAAAATTATAAATTAGGATTTCTGTTTTCTAATCCTAATACTAATCACTGATTCTTTGTTTCCGACTTCTCTGTGCTTCCTTTTTCTTCTCTTATGAAACATGTACTGTTGCTACTTATTTTTTAGGTTGGGATGGGAAGGTGTAATAAAGTTCTGTTTGAAATGTAAGCCCTCAGGGCTAATTAGACAATATGGCAGTCGTATCAGAATACACAAAAATTGGGAGCTTTTGAGAATTTTGTCCATCTGGACCAGATTCAAAACAAATCCCAAAAAATATTTTTATCTTTTTCTCATGAGATCTGAAGAAAATTCATTTGCTCCAGCAAATTATCATGGGATCTCAAAGCATTCATCCTATTTTTTAATTTTCAAAAGGGCCATCAGAAGTTTCTTCTTGGGATTCTTAGGGGTTGATTGGGCAGACTGACTTGTAGCTTAACATAGACTTAAGATCTTTCTCTAGTTTTAACGTTTGAGAAGAAAATTGGTAGTGAATATGTTTTTTAAAAAAGTTTTACTGGTATCATAGTTTACTAAAAAATGACCGTCTCATTTGGTTGGAACTTCAATTTAAACTTTTAATAATATAATTAAATTGATTAAGATTTGAGGCTTGAAATAGCCAGTAGGTATACGATTGTTGATCAGATAACAGAATTTTGGTAAGATGTTCACATTTTAAAATTTACAAGTTGGGAAGCTGATGACTCCATTTTATGAGCCAGGAAACTGAGCCCCATTGAAGCTGTGACCTGGCTGGGGCCACACAGCCTAGTACTGGGCTTTTCCCCTACATGTCATGTTTCCTTTGACTTCATTAGGTCTGAGTAATAAGCTGAAAACAATACAGCTTGTTTGGATCATTTATATTGGAAAAAAAATACTTTGGGATTTTCAAAAATGTGAATGTATTTTTCTTAGGAATTACACTAACTAGCTAATGGAGTCCTGGATCTGTCAGTTACTATGAATTTGTTAAAACCAAATTAATCTCTGAATCTCCTGTTTTGTCATGAGCTGATTTTTTTTTCCTTAAGGAATTTTGTATTACTTAGCTCACACACTCGTTTTGAAGAGGGAAATTACAACAAAAATGTAAGAGTGCTTATCAGATATCCAGATTGTGTGCTTCAGAAGAGCTCTGTGCCTTACTCAAGATTGTCACCATTGGTCTACACTGCTAAAAGCAGACCCTTGTTTAGATGGTATCTTAACCCCTCTCCTACTGTAGGAAGCATGATACAGGGAAGAAGTATGGGCTCTGAGGTGGACAGACCTGGGCTGGAACTGCAGCTGTACTATTTTCTGGTCGGGACGCCTGGCGAGTTAACCTCTCTGAGCAAGCTTCCTCGCTTGTAAGATGGGGATAAAAGCACTGTAGCTGTTTTGTGATCATTACAAACACTAGTTGGACATTTAGCCATCTAGCAAAGTGAAGTGCCTGGCTTACAGTGTATTCTCAGCCAATATAATTGATTGGAAGTTCTTAGTCATTACCTTTTATACTAGTAAGAATTGATTGATTTAATAGTATTAGCTCAGGAGGTAATGGTCCCAAAGGGTTCCTCACCAAACGCAAGAACTTGCAGCATCTCTTTTTATAACCTGTTTATGGTAACAGCTTAATTTAGATAGATAGTAACTTGCAAATGCTCATGCCCAGATGCTACAGGCTGAGGAGACTTCCAGCACCTCTCAGCTGAATGAATTAATGATGGCGTCCCAGACAACTTTGCTCTCTCAGGAACCACGAGCAGTAACTGCAGATGTCACTGAGCTTAAAGGGACATTTCTAATCAACCTAGAAGGTAAGAAGGAGGTGAGGGTAACAGCGGTATCTGGGGAACTGAATGATAATTATAGGTCATCTCCAGCTTTGCAGTGGACTACTTGTATTCTAAAGGCACATATACACTTGGAATACGGTTTTCTATGGAAGCAGTGTCAACAATGGCCAGGTTTCAAAACTAGCTCTCAAAGTGCCGTACCTGCCGATCTTAGGAACACAGGGGTAGGGGGAGGAGAGGGAATAAGTCATTGTCACTGCATGTGAAGTCAGTCTACCTTACTTTGGTTGGCTTTTGTGCCCCCTGTCCTTTGATACTTAGTCCTGCCCAGCCCTGCTACCCTTCCCCACTGTTGAATCTAAAATTTCTTATTATGCTCACCCCAAATTAAACAGTGTCATGTAGCCACTGTTAATGAAGAATCAAGGAAGTTTTATTGAACTCATTCCCACATTGATATAAGCATTTTGTAGTTATTTGTTTGATAGGGGATTTTGTCAGCTTAATTCATTCTCGTTGATGGAAAGGAGGCCGAGTAATGTTAAGAGAGAAAAACATGCAGATATTTTGGGAAAAGTGATGGCTGTCTGTGCTTTTCATAATAGCTTTTAGGTACCAGCAGGAGGTGGGAGGCATCGGTTGAAATCTGAGGCCTGGCCGCATTGACCATGTAGTAGATTTTGGCTTAATTTGCTTTTCAAAATGTTAATCTACATTCTCTGTGCAATGACTAGAAAATAATTTACTTCCTTTACTGTACATTACCAGTCTGAGGTCTATTCATTGTGGAGAAGTTTTTGTTTCCTTTTGTCCAAACCAAGAAGTTTAATGTGGGGACACTGCCATTGTCAGTCTAATTTGGCTCTTTTTAAAATTCTTAAACCAGTATGTAGCTGGAGAGGCAGTGTAATTTATCAGAACTGTACCCAGATGAAGAGCTAGAAGGCCTGCTCTGCCTGAGTAGATACAGAACTCAGTGACCTGTGGAAAAATCAGTCAGTCTCTCAGGGTCTCAGATTCCTCATCTCTCCCCAGTCAGTCAGGTTGTATGAGTGAGTGAGTCCACTGTCTTGGCTGTTTATGTACAAATGTGCAAATGAAGCGGTATTTTCCAAGGCAGGAAGGAGGAAGCTTTGAAAAAGGAGCACCTGCCAACCAATTAAAAAGTAAAGAGTTGTACAAGTTCAGTGGCCTATCAGAAATACTCTTCACGTGTTTTTCTTTCATAGGTGGTGATATTCGTGAAGAGTCTTCATATAAAGTAATTGTCATGCCAACTACCAAGGAAAAATGCCCTCGCTGTTGGAAGTACACTGCTGAGTCATCAGACACACTCTGTCCGCGATGCACAGGAGTTGTGAGAGGGAAGTAATACCTCGCTGTGTTGAGGGCTTTCTGAGCAAGAACTTCCTGACGGGACTGCCTGGGGGTTTAGGTGGATTGTTCACAGCACTGCAAAGAAATCCAAGATTTAGGTAATGAGTGGAAGAGTAAGTGGTAGAGGATGAGAGTCAGAGTTAGAGCTACAAGCTTTTTCTGCAACTAAATAAAAAATGACGTGTATATATACACATGGAAAAATATACCTATGCAGATGGATCCATAATGGACTTCCTCAGAACACAGACACTGAAAATGCTTGCCTACAAACGTGGCTCAGCAGAAAATGTTTTATATTTTATCAGTCTTCTTGACTCAGTATTTAAGTTCTATAATGTCTAAAAATAAAGGCACCTGGGAAATTACTGACTGATGGTGGTGCAAAAGTTGTGAATATCCAGTAAAAAACCTGTGGTTTTGAAGGGGAATGGCAGAGGGGTGTCTCGCTTAAGAGATGACAAGAGTAATTTCATTCCGCCTTAACAGCACGCACCGACCTTTTCAGAACAGCTAGTTTTTGGGTTGCCTCGGAAGCGAAGACATCACCAAGTTTGTTATTCTCCTGTAAGAGCGGAAAGTATCTTAATACTTATATTTATGAATGTTAAGGAAACAACATGAAAGCTGAAAATTTATTTCACTAATACACATAAAAGTTCACTACAATGAACAGACACAGAAAATAGCAGTATATACAGAATTTGACTACTTACAATACATTACAGTAGATAATAGGGCATTTTATAAACAATTCAGTACTGGATTAAAATCTTTCCAAGGATGGTTAATTCTGTTTAGCAGAAATACAGCAAATCCATTCCTGTCAGGGTGAGAGAGGGCTTTCACTGTTGCTGTTGAGTACTTTAAAAATATTTGTCTCTTGTAAGTGAAATGAACCACAGCAACTGCTAAGAGAACTTATTATTCCATGTATGCTTAGTGTTATTAAATCTGAGTTTTCTGTGATTTTAAACTGTAATCAATTTCTTTTTTAAAGAAAGCAATTTAAATTGAACAGTGTTTACTTCAACCTTAGTTTAATTTTTATAACAAAGGTGAAACACTTTTCTCCATACCTCATTTTTCTTTTTGCAAAAGCATGAACCATTTAGAAGCTTGGTGTGCTATATTCCTCTTCATTTGCATTTATCCTGTCTCTTCTAGTTCTACATCTAAATACAACCTGTAATGTAGAATTTATGATTATTTGAACGCTTTTGTTTTCCTTTGCATTATACAACAGAATTTAACAAGGTATAAAATGCCTATTTAATGTTCATGAGGAAAGGTGTATCGGGGGGTTGGCCGTGGGAGTAGATCTGAGAAAACACTACTCGCTGGTTATTGGTTTCCCACCAATAACTGCAGTATGTGCAACATACCTGTTTCAGAAACTGTCCATTCTGTATGGTTATTTGTGGCTCTTCATGGTTACACAATGCATACACAGGTATTTATTTTCCTTTCCTCTATCAGATTTATTTTAAAAGCCCTTAATGAAGTAGTAAAATATTTAACTGCTTGTTTTAATCATACAACTGAGAATTCAATTTTAAAATTCTTTGAATGGCAAAGTTTAGGATTATAAATCTTAACTAGAGACTCAATGCTTTGTTATGGTTCTAGGAGCCATATTTCAGCTGATTAATATTCTCAACAATCCCCAAATTTGATTACATGTCCTACTAGAATAAGTTCAGCCAGTTTTATTATCTAAAATGCTTACTAGATACCCTCTCCCCCAAAAGTGATAATGGAATCAAAGTGACTGATTTATTAATCTTTAAAAACGCCTGTAATTCCAAGTTTCTTTGACCAGCCTCCAAGGTTCATAACTACTTTCAGAGTATTTAGAAAAGTCACAGAAAGAACTAATCTTTCAGAATGCACGCAAGTGACTATATAGAGCTAGACATGTTTACGAGAAATCATATAAATGTGTCTGGATGGGGCAGCAGAGATCCCAGCAGAGGCCGAGAGGCTAGACCAGCCCGAGGTCGTTTTCAGTGTTTCTGTTGCAGCGTGTGCCTCAATCAGACATACAAGGCCCTCACCCCACGTCCTCAAGACATCTGAAAAATTAATCTTTCAAGATTTTATCGACAAATGAAACAGTAATTATTAAGTTTTAGACAGTTCTTATTTGGATGTGATCTCTTAGTTAAAAAGAATTTGCACTGGGATATCCTCAAACATCAGACTTTTCCTTTATGTTCCTGATTAACGCCTCAAATTTGTACAATTGCGAGAGTTGGCTTCTTCCTAAGGAAGTGAAGAACAAACTTCTGTATCACAACGAGTTGCTACGAATAACAACTGTGATCCAGGACATGTCAGTACTCGCACTGTATGGCTACATTCCAAAGATTTACCATAATAAATACTTGGTGTTATTTGTACAGCTCTTTATAGAGTTTTGGTTTACAGTTTTTTGGTTAATTTGGTTTTAATCAACAAATGATTATTCAGCACTTGGACTGCTCTAGGCACTGTAGGGTACAAAATTAGTTGTATTTATCCTCTCAAGCCAGCTGTGAGGTAGGTTCACTAAAGCTGTAGTATCATCACTAAGCATTTTCTGTATTGTTCTTAAGAACAGGTAACATTACCAAATCCCAGAAGCAGACACCTCAAAACACTCGTAGGAAAAATAAAGTTGGACCTTAGATTTTTAGCATCTTTGCCCCTTTTTTTTAAACGTAAGTTTTACAAGATAATACATTTTTACAATTACCTGATGTGGATACAGCTTTGAATCTTGGCAAAAAGCAAATCTTAACTTGCATTTTAATTAATTTTGCTGTGTTGCTTGCATCTTAGATTCTGTTTTGGCAAGTACAGCAGGTTAAGGGTTCCATTTAGTGTCCATTCTGATGAATATATGATCTTGAACCCATTATTCCACCACAGGCAGGGTCATCCTCCTCTGATGGCAACAGCATAACCTCTGGGAAAGAAACCTGTCAGCATCCAGAGCTCCAGGGGGCAGTGCCCCAGTACGGGACCAAGCATGATAACAAAAGCGTTTTCCCAACATTTACTAAAAAGGGAGTGGTGTACTTCTCTCATGTAACTGGTGGGGACTATACATGAACACGTTTAAATTTAATTACAATAACGTTTTGAGTACGAAATATAGAATGTTATAATAAGAACATTATCTGTAAATTATAACCAGTTTTAAATAGCAAAGTTTAACAATAAAGCTACTTAAGTGCTTGAATTAAAAATAAACAGTCAAACATCTGCAAGAGGAGTTAATAGTATAGTTGATACTTGTTCATATTTTATCATCAGTATTAACCAAAGGAGGGGAATTTAGCCAAGACTGCACTTTTTAAAAGTAATAATGTATTTTTATTTATTTTACAAAAGGAAAAAAACCATATTCCCTCCATAAAATTCCAGATCTTACTGTGTAAAATAACCATGCACTAATTCATATTATAGTCACACAATTTTAGACTGTTTACAGTAGATAAAGTGTCATAAAGGAGGAATAGCTATGGCTTCCACAGCTTCAGTGAGGTGCAAGGCTAAACTATACTGCCCGTGGTTTTCTGGTAAAAGCTCAATTACTTTATTTACTAGTTTAGCTGTTGTTGCAATTGGCACTTCTGTGTTTTGAAGATCCTGGGGGCTCTGCAAATGGGACACAAAAATAACCCGTCAGTTACATACAACTGAATCATCTTACTTGAACTTAAGCATTAGCCAGAGAGTAATTTCCCAATAAAAATGCTTTTCTTCAGAACTAAGTAGATTAAACTTAAATTTTTCCTCTACTGAAAATGCACATGAAAAAACATCCAGTGACCTGCTGACTCCTCTCACTGCCGGCACTTACCATGGCCTTCAGCCAGGTGCACAGCGTCGGGGGCAGCCTGGCAAGTAGCTCCAGCCCCTCCCTCGTCTGCGTGCGCAGCACCGCGTGCGCCAGCCGCTGCCCTATCAGCACCAGCAGCTGCGAGGCCAGGACCTCTTTGTCCTGAACCTGGAGGATGGCCTGTGGAGATGAACGTGAACAAACAGATGCAAAAGCTAACAGCTGGGCTTCCTTTAGGAAAGGCACCCCCCATGCCTAGTTCGGTGCCTAGGAGAGGCTACTTCATTTCTGAGGTATGGCCATTTATACAACCAAAAGAAAGCCCAATTCAAACAGCATTTAAACCCCAAATTTCTTCTCATCACCTGACTTTGGCCGCCTCTTATCTCCTAATTTTTCAGTTCAGCATGACTACAGGAGTCATTTTCAAGCTTTAGGCAAAAGAAGGAATTATATTATATTAAATCATGTCGTGACTAACCGTGGGCTATGAGACCTCCTGTGACCTGGTCCCTGACCTCAGACCTCGTGTTCTTTCTGCCTCTAGCAGTAGAGGCAGAAAACCTCCCCCTGGTTTTCTGAGTGGCTGGGCTGCTGCTTATCCTTGGGGGCTCGGCTCTCATGTCACCTCTGACCACCCTGTTATACTTCTGTTTATTCACATGGTCTTGTGAATTTTCTTCGCAGCATTTACCACTCAGTACAGAATTGAGCATGCTTCTCTGCTCCTACGAGTAGACTGTGGATTCTGAGGAAGGCACCCTGTCTGTTTTGTTTATGGCTCTGTCCCTCTGCATAAAACAGGCCCGGCATACGGCAGGAGTTACACTAAACATTGACCAGAAACAGGAATCTGATTAGTTTTTTATTTTAATTCTCTTCACGTTTTGTGCCTAGAAGTTCTCACAAAAGAAGGAAAAGCAAAAAGCTTTATTGGCAACTTTACTGATTCTTTACTCGAGCTATCAATTTTAAAACTTGAGCCCAAATGACATTCACCGGGTGATTATTACCTCTTCTCCTAAGTGGTCAGCTCCATAGCTGTAGAGTTCCGCCACATAATGCCTCCTAACAACATCTTCACTAACTTGAAGGTGATGGGCCAGATCCAGGGCCAGCACTGGCCAATCTTGGTCTTTCCCCAAAAGAGTGGTCATTGCCTCTTCTGAGGAGCCTTTGTCCTTCGTGACTGCATGTCGGGCCTGGACAGCTGCACTGATGACTTTCAATAAGAACTTGAAGATGGGCAAAGAAGGAGAGCAACATCTTGTTAGTATGTTTCATTAAAAAATATGCAAATCCAAGTAATCGTTGACTTTCCTGTCAATTACTGTGGCTTTTCCATTAAAATAGTTATCAAAAAAAGACACATAATTTAAAGGGAAGTTAACTCTCAAGAACACCTTAGAGGTGGTCATCCCAATAACTGTAATTACCTGCTGTCGTACAGAAATAAAATTTGCATCCATTTCTCCACTAGGTAATAACTGAATTGAAGTTAGGTCTTTGAAAAATGCGTTTTTCCCCTAAAGAGAAAGAAGAGACCA